GGTTCCTCTCCCTTGTCGACTCCTCCCAGAGTCAGAGGGAGGGTTTTTGCTTGTCTGAGGCAGCACAGTGTGATCGATCTTGGCAAGTGGCGGGAGACATTTTATCCACCACAAGCACGATGGTGGAGCCAGGGGGTGGTCAGTGGTGGCCTTAGTCATTTAAGGAAGCTATGCTTTTAAGGAAGAAAAAAACTAGAAAGCATTATTTGCTCAAATGATAGAGTTGGCCATCTTGTATTTTGCCATGGCAACCCAAGTGTGGATAGGGACCTTTCTTATCCCTAGATGCAGCCACATACCAAAATGGAAATCAGTATCTCACTTATTTTTTCAAGTTATCAAGTGCACAGAACGAACAGGCAGATGGATGGGCGGAGGGTATTTCCAAGTCGGGATAAAGGTAGGGCAGCCGACCTGGGGCCAGAAAGTTGGAGTTCGATCCTCAGCCATTCCCGCACTTCGTGGTGTCTCTGAGCAAGACACCTACCATACTTGCCACCGTACACGTTGCACCGCCGAATAAGTCGCATCAGTCCAAATTTGTCTAATAAAGTGGAAAAATATCATAAATACGTTGCTTCACGGTTTAAGTCACATCTATTATGCGTCACCACTGACCACCCAGAAACGTAGGCCGGTGTTGTGCCAAAAATCGATTGGCTGCCAAATGGCGGAAGCGTGCACGAAAGGACTTTAACAAGAATTTAACAAGATTAACACTTAAAAACTATTATTTATTTGATTGAAATTATAGCCAAAGTGTGTTTCAGTCTAACTTTTCGTTAATAAATGCACTTTCACGGTCAAATCAGCTGCATTTCAAAAGCCGATTTGTGGCTGCGTGAGCGCGCAGAGGGAAGACTCTGTGCATTTCTTCAAAATTTAACAAGATAACCACCTAAAAACAATTATTTGTTTGCTCAGCATTATAGTAAAGGTGTGTCTCAGTTGAACTTTTCCTTAATAAATGCACTTCAGTGGTCAAATCCGCTGCATTTCACGTGGGCGGCGCGGCGAAATGCAGTTGATTTGACATTTGCTCCAGGAGTTCTGGGGGCGAGACAAAGGTGGCTCTGTATGGCAAGCCAAGTGTCTCATTAATAGCCACTTTTACCTATTAATGAGACACTTGGCTTGCCATATGGTTGAGGGCCCTCTAGTGGCTGAAAATGGTAGTGATCAATATTTTCCATGTCAAAATGAATGAAATCGTCAGATCTCAGCCAAAAATCGGGTTATAAATGGGAAAAAACAAATATGTCGCTTCATTGTACAAAGTATAAGTCACAAACATTTGTTAATTTAGGCAAAAGACTGTGACTTATACAGAGAAAATTACGATAATCCCTAAGTGCTCCCAGGGCGCTTACACAGCTGCCCACTGCTCCACCTGGGTGTATCTCATGTGTGATGAGTTAAATGCAGAGAACTAACCTCATTATGGTATGAGAACATACAAAATAATAAAAAGTCTCTTAAGGATTATTCAACGGCGGGACGCTTAATTAGTGAAGAATGGCTCTTTGTTAGTCAACTGCAGCTTAAGTAGTTTATGTTAAAAAGCTAAAAGTGGCTTAGTTAGTTGGCCAACAGATGATTAAAGAATTTACAACAGTGGCTCAGGTATTTAATAAAGAGTGACTCTCTTATTTAGCAAACAGCGGTTTGTTTCATTAACCGAAAATTAATTGCTTAAAAATCCAACAGAAGCTTGCTTAGTTGACCATATTTTAAATTCATTATTTTATATAATTAAAGGTGAATAAACATAATCTCATAACTTGCTGTTAATAATCAGTTCATAAATGTGGATCCAGAAACAAACCCTATCAATAAAAATGTGAAGTTATTAGTTATTATACATGGTTAAACACTTTATATGTATGTCTTCCTCTTCGAGCTGGTTTGGATTCAGTTTAGTCTTTTATTTTACCATTTCCAACATTGAATGAACCCAACACAAACAGTGTTACAGTTGAGAATGAAGATTTTGGCCCAAATAAACTAACACTGGGGATGTTGATACATTTAACCTGACAGCGCTGACATGAAAAGAGTTTAATATAGTGACCCCCGAAACAAATAAATAGCTAGCACCACAAAAATTATGTTTATCTTTCTGAACACAGAAAAAGAAACATTTACATACATTATCAGAAGGTGGATATAAGAATGTCAGTGAAGTTCATCTGCAGCATTCCTTCATAGAGGGCCATCATTTAACAGATAATTAAACATGTCAACGTCTATCTTGTAATAAATTTTCTTTAAAACGGATAAACTGAGGCGGTGTGGGACAAGATGATTGTAGCAAAGTCTCAAACATCCCAGGAATGCTGCTGCTGATGAGACGTACCGCCTGGAGCTCACGTTCCTCAAAAACCCTGGAGAGGATGAGGCGGCGCAGCGGCACCGTCATGATCAGGACGAAGGGGAACGCCAAGGAGACCACGGTGGACTTCACTACCCACAGAGCCACGATGCACGCCAGCTGGATGATGGTGAACATGTTCATCCGCCATGTCTTCACCTGAAACGACGCACAGGACTGGGTTAAACCAGTAAAGCCACAAAGAGATGCAAAAAAAGAATTGAATATGTACACATGGTATAATTATCACCTCCTGCCGAAAGGTTGGAGACAGGCGATAAAGTTTTTGGTCATTTATAAGTGTGTTTATGTGTCTGTCAGATAACAAAACACTTGTGAACCACTTCCTGGATTCTAATGAAATCTGTCGAAAGTAATCAGTGGAGTTCAGTAACAGATTAAATCTAGAAGTCACCAAATGCAAGATGGATGCCACAGCCAACTGACCTTAAAAAACACACACACAAAAAATGGCTGTAATTTGGACAGTTTTATAAATGTAGCACTAAATCTTGCTATAGTTTTAGCTGAGAGTCATTGAAAACCCACTAAGTGTAGAATTGGGCAAATGAGATCGCCACGACACAATGTCAAGGTTTCACCAAAACTGTGTCAAATCTCACCGTAAGATGAGCTGAGTCTAGATCTGTGGCATTAATGGGGTGGGGGGTTATGAATTCCTAATAATAATAATAATAGGCTTTTACTGTGATTAGTTTAATATTTCACAAAATCATCAAACGAGCCAATAGACTCATTTTTTCAAGGGAACAGCATGAAATCCAAAATCGAGTTACCAGATTTAAATGGGTCACCACCACCTAAACACGTGCAGTCGAAATTTAACTGACAGGAACGGCATTTTCTTTAAAATAAATAAATAAATAAGTAAATAAATAAATAAGGCAGTGAGAATGCTGAGCTCGGAAACTGTCTGAATTGATGAAGCTTAAACAAGCAGAACAAAAGCTAAAAGTACCAAAAAGCTCATTAAGATCTAAAAGTAGTAGAATGGTAAAGCTTAAGTAGCAAAAGACTAATGAAAAGCAGTAAACGGCTAGTCAAAAACTAAAAGTATCCAAAGGCTGGCTAAAGGAGCAAAAAATAGCCCAAGATGACAAAAAGAAAAAGTATGATGAATTAGAATAAAAATATATATTTTGAAGGAATTAAAGTGATCCTAATGTATGTTTTTTATGGGGAAATGTTTAGATCTAATTAAATACCATACTTGCCACCGTATAGGTCGCATCAGTCCAAAAATGTCTAATAAAGTAGAAAAAAAACATAAATAGGTCGCATCTATTATGCGTCACCGCTGACCACTCGGAAACATGGGCTGGTGTTGTGCCAAAAATCGATTGGCTGCCAAATGGCGGCTGCGGGCACGTGCACGGGAGGACTTTATCAAGAATTTAACAAGATTAACACTTAAAACAATTATTTGTTTGCTCGAAATTATAGCAAAGGTGCGTCTCAGTCTAACTTTTCCTCAATAAAATGCACTTTGACGGTCAAATCAGCTGCAATTCAAAAATCGATTTGCCGAAGTGGGAGCACGCAGAGGGAAAACTTGCACTGCATTTCGTCAAAATTCAACAAGATAACAGCATAAAAACAATAATTTGTTTGCTTGACATTATAGCAAAGGTGTGTCTCAGTTGAACTTTTCCTTAATAAATGCACTTTAATGGTCAAATCAGCTGCATTTTGCCTGGGCGGTGCGGCAAAATGCAGCTGATTTGATGTTTGCTCCAGGAGTTCCAGAAGGAGAAGGTGGCTCAGTATGGCAAGCCAAGTGCCTCATTAATAGCTACTTTTAACTATTAATGAGCCACTTGGCTTGCCATATTAGTCGAGGGCCCTCTAGCGGCTGAAAAAGGTAGTGTTCAATATTTTCCATGTCAGAATGAATGAAATTGTCTCATCTCAGCCAAAAACTGGGTTATAAATATGGGGGGGAGAAGTAAATTAGTCACCTTGGTGTATAAGTTGCAGTACTTGCAAATTTATGCAAAAAGGTGCGACTTATACAGCAAAAACTACGGTATGTTGAAAAGTGTAAAGTTACAAAAAACAAGTCACAGCACTCATTTTCTGAATGGGCTGAATGCTAAACAAATGAACATATTACAAGGTATGCAGACGTAATTAGATTGCTGACTCAGTATTTACAGATTTAGAAATAAAATAGGAAAAATAAACATCAACAGGAAAAATACTAGCACCAGTTCACACTATGGGCTTTAATGTATGATTTTCCAGTAAACACGTCAAAGTTTAGTTAAAGAAAAGGAGAAATTATATTAACCCCGACCCTTTCTGTGTGTTTCTGTGAAGCCCGTGGGTTTGACGCTCTGTTCTGCCTCCAACTCTTCAGCCTCCCGCTCTCTGTGGTTTCTGTAAATGAATTGAAACTCTGTTTTTACCCGTCTCACCGCTGACGATAGGGCGGAGTGTTACCTTAGTGACGTAGGTGTGGTCAGGGTGGTGCTTGGCAGGGGTGACCATGAGCGTGATGCGCTCGTACAGCTGGATGCCCGTCAGGGAGGTGACCCCCATGTACAGGAAGATACCAAAGAGAACGGCCAGAGGGATGAGGCGCAGCACGTCCGTCATCACGATGGACAACCCTGATGGAGGAAGTGCAACGATTTTAGTGGATTTTAAACAGTAAAATTAAATCTCGTGAAAAAACATCTATAAAAACAAACATCATTTCAGGGTTTGTGTGGAAAAGACTCTGGTTTGACAGCAAAACTCAAAGTTATTATCTCCCGTCTCCTCTTACCAACGAGCACAGCCACCATCAGCCCCGTCAGCCTCTGCTCCTTCACCTCCTGGATCATGGGCTTTTCTCCAGGAGCCGTGGCCTTGCTCATGACGGTGAGCGCGTTGACGTGAGTGACAGAACGGACCGTGGCTGCGGTGAGCCACGGCAGGCCGAACAGCGGGCAAACGGCACCAAGTATGACGATGAGCAGGAGGTCCAGGTGGAAACCCGAGCCCTTGATGAGGCGACGCTCCTTTTTACTGACAATCAGTCTGATGGGGCAGAGAAAACAGGAAACGCAAACCAAACAAAAGCTCAGCGTTTAACAGAACGTTCAAAGTCATTTGCATAAAGGCTGAGATGTTGTATGGAAAATAAGTCAAAACAAAATGCGTTAAACACATACTTTTTCACAACAATGCACAGTAAACTCATGAAATGTTAAAACTAAAAATGTGTGCCTGTAACTTTTAGGGAAAAAAAGGGTAATTTTGAACATGATGGCAACAACACACCTCAAAATAGTTGAGACGGGGCAACAGAAAACTGTAAAAGTCAGTGGTTCGCATTTAAAAGAACAGATGAAGGACCATTTTCTAACAATGTTCAGTCAGGTCATCTGGACGGTTTCTTTTTTCTTTTGCTGAGACGTTTCGTCTTTCACCCAAAGGACTTCTTCAGTCTGAGGAGCCACAAACAAACTGGAATCCTACAAGCACCAACATAATCCCATAGTGTGAAAAATAACAGTTTGCTGTTGATAAGATGGTTTCTGGGGCCCACCCTCTCCCCCATAAACTCCTCTAAGGCAGCCATGCCAAAATGGTTCAAAACACCTAAGTTCATGCTCAGTAATCCAGGTACAAATCCAACAATATTCAGTCAGGTCATCTGGACTGTGTTTTTTTTTTTTTTTTTGCTGAGACATTTCGTCCTTCATCCAAAGGATTTCTTCATTCCAAGAAGCCACAATTTCAGATTTCAAACTGATTCCAGTTTGTTTGTTTGTTTGTGATTCCTTGGACTGAAGAAGTCCTTTGGATGCAGGATGACATGGCTCAGCAAAGAAAAGAAAAAAAGTAACCGTCCAGATGACCTGACTGAACATTGTTGGATTTGTACCCGGATTTTTGAGGATGAACTTTGGGACCATTTTGTAAGTGTCAACAAGTCAGTAAGAGAGCTGGGAATAAAAAAGAACATTTTAGAAGTTGACTCTCTCAGAAGTAAAGATGAGCAGAGGTTCACCAGTCTAAAAATAAAGGAACAATTTCAGAACAATGTTTCTTAACAAATACTACAAAGGAAGTGAATATCTCATCATCTAAAGTTCTTTATACCGTCAAAACATTTCAAGAATCTGGAGAAACGTCTGAAAGTCAATTATGGGTTGTCATTATCTTCAGGCCTTCAGGGGCCACTGCAAGAACAAGTCTGGTTCTGTTCTGGGCTCAGGAACACTTCCACAGATCATCAACTGTAAACACAGTTAATCCACAAAGGCTGCTTAAAGCTCTATCAGGCAAAGAAGAAGCCAGCTGTGAACACCATCCAGAACTGCTGCTGGACCAGAGCTCATTTAAATTGGATTGATGTGAAGTCCAGAACTGTTCTGTGGTCAGAAAAATCTAAATTTGAAATTATGTTAGAAAACCACAGACTTCCGTACTAAAGAGAAGAGGGAATATAGTTTACAAGCCAGCCTCTCTGATTGTATGGGGGTGCATTAGTGACTCTGGCATGGTGTTAACTATACAGAACTATAACTTAACTATACACGTCTGGAAAGATTACCGGTACTTCAATGCAGAAAAGTATCTACAGGTTTTTGAACATCTACTCCCATCCAGTAAAAAATACAGCAAAGAAGATCCAAGACAGTTGAACAACTAGAAGCTTCCATAAGACCAATTTTTTTTTCTTCCAGATCTGTTGCTCTCATTAAATTCAATATTACAATTTTTTTAAAATAAAAATAATACAATTATTCAGTAGTTTTCTTACATTTAACACAACATCCTAATTTTTTTCAGAAATGGTCTTCCAAATAATCATAAGAAACGTACGAAGTGATCTGAGTTTCCATGAAAATGAGAATGAAGACAAGGAGTGCAGGAACAACAGAAGCTCCCATCATCCAGGTTGGAAACGGCTGCTTGTCTCCAAAAGGACTGATCAACCAGCTTCTCTTCTCTGGAGATGTGACTGAAAAGCCTGAAGGGACATTGAGTTTCTAAAAGAAAAGAATCGTCATGTTTAAGTCCAGGAACATGTGTATAAAATGCACCTGAATGCTCCTGAGAGTGAAGCTACCTGTGTGTAGGTGTCAGTGATGCTGTAATCGAGCAGAACGGAAACTAAGATGGAGATGGGGATGCCAAAGTCACCAATAATTCTTCTGGCCTGAGAAGAGTGAGAAACCTTAATGTTAAACTGTACAGTTAAAACGCTCAGAATTCAAAGTAGGTTTTTATATCCAATCAAACTTTAAAACATGCACCTTGAAAAAAAAGATTAGGAATTTGAAGAACTTTTCGTTCAATTTTGTCAGAAACATCTAAATTTTACATTGTGCTTCCAAATAAAATCTCCACAGAAAGCGCAAATTTAACAGTTTAAAAAAAAAGAACATTACCTTGCCGCCTAAGAAACGGCTGTTTCTGAACTTCCGTAGGAAGAATGCGACTAAGAACGTGCCCATCATAAGAACCAGTGACAGCAGAGCTGTGTTGGGCTGGTTGAGGACCTGAACGTCAAAATCCTGAAATGCATTAGCTGTGCTGGAGTCGGTGGGGTACACCGCCAACAGAGGATGCTCCTTGAACACCTGCAAACAAAACAGTCTCACTACCGATGGCTTCTATAGATACAGCAACAGAGACAATTGGGAAAATAAAACTCCAATGAAAAGCAGCACAGTGGTGCAACTGGTAGAGCTGCTGCCTCTCAGCGAGCAGGTCCCGGGTTCAAATCCCGATCCGGGGGCCTTTCTGGGTGGAGTTTGCATGTTCTCTCCGTGCATGGTGGGATTTCTCCAGGTACTCCGGTTTCCTCTCAGAGACCCAAAACATGCATGTTAGGCTGATTGGTAACTCTAAATTGTCCCTAGATTTGAGTTAGAGTGATCGCACTCTGCCCTCTGAGGGTATTTCAGAGAAGACAATACATTTACAGCAGTGACAGGAGAAACAATACCAAAATACTTTGTAACAGCCAATATGCATATTACTGTTGTAGTACTTTTTTAACACCACACGTTGGCGCCTACTTTATTTGATATGTCATAAGTCATTGTAGAAGTCAAAAGTGTTACTGGGAGCTTTACATTGTGTACAAATTTAGCTGCTCCGCTCAGCCTCAGTAACGAGTGGTGAAGGATATACATACTATAAGGGACTGTACTCCATACACATGTATGAATAATAGACTTAACGCCGTGGAGACCTGGCATCGTATGGTTTTCTAAGTTTTGTAATAAAGCGCAAGTAGGAGTCAACATTCTGTCGCTCTCTTCTAAGCTACGCCGGAGCACATGTTGTTAATGCTAAGCTAGCTCTCCTTCTACGTACCATCACATTACAACATATGTTTTGATATACAGTAGTCCCTCACTACTTCGCGGTTCGACTTTTGCGGACTTGCTCTTTCGTGTTTTTTCAACGTAAGGTTGTACACGACACACGATTGTCAATTTTAATAATACTCACATGATTGGGATGGAACAGGATAAAAAGTTAATGAAAAATAATACTTCAGACAGGTGCCACCATTTGGTAGTTTGCTTTCAATAAGCTTATACTGTAACACAAGTCAAAAGAACTACACTTCCCAGAAGTCAACAGTGCGTCCGGCCGCTGCTTTCTGACAAAATGGAGAGATAGTTTTGCAACGCAAAATCAGAAGTAATGATCTATTAAGCTCACAAAACTAGCAGGAAAGTCGCAAATAATCTTGAAGCTGTCTGAAGTTCAATTATCCACGCGCACATCAACCTGGATGGGGCGATGGGCTTTGTCACTGCAGGGTAGGTCTGTACCTGAACCTGAACCGAGCCCAAACAGAACCCAGTTCTGGGCTGCAGAGCTGGTGAGTACCCATATAAAATGTTGCAGTACTGTACAGTATATGTATGTTGCAGTGGTGTAGTCTATAATTTTTTGTGGGTATACTGTGCTTAAACCAAAGTACAACGTAATCGTCAATTTATTTTGATTTTTAAGCATATTGAACATTTTCAAATTTCTTTGATGCCTATATTGGAATAAATGAATAACAAACTTTGTACAACAATTGGCTTTGTATTAAAAAACATGTTAGACAATTTTTAAAACAGTATCAAAGCAAAGTGCTGCATACTAATACACTGTTACGGAAGCGTTTAACTGCTGTTTAACGTATCAATGATATGTGCCTAATGATATGGCATGTATCATTGGGCACTTTTAAGTGGGTATACTGAAATTCTTTAGCTTTTCTAGTGGATATACTCCGTATTCCCGAGTATCACATAGACTACACCACTGGTATGTTGCTAAAATTACGTAGGTTTAAGAGTTTAGGTCATTGCAAGAGTGTGCAAAGTGTTTATAAAGCCTTAAAACATATATAAATACTAAAATAAATGTAGCATTCCTACTTCATGCTTTTTCACCTTCTGGAATGTAACCCCCATGATAAACTGGAAACTACTGTATAAATTGTGTAAGAAATTTGGCAGAAAGAAGTATGGATGGTTTAAGTTTGTGAGTGACATCATCACATTCAAGTTGAACATTTTGTGGAAAAATCTCTATACATCAACAAACTATAAACTATAATTGTGTAAAAACCGTTAAACATATCAAAATTACAATTTACTCATGTAAAGTCGAATTTTTGTTACTAGTAAATAAAAAAAAACACATATTAGAAGTTGCAGTAAAATGAGTTGTTACCTTGACGAGCTTAGAAAAAGTCTCGTAGATAAAAATGAGAGAAATGAGGAAAGCAAAAATCTCCTGGGTAAAAGGAGAGATGTAGCGCACAAGAAAGCTTCCTTCTGAAGCCACAATCACCAAGACGATGACGACGAGCCAGAAACCGATCCAAACTCGTCCCGTCAGGTACTCGAAGTTATAGGCCTGACAGAACTGAGAGGTAAGACATTTTAGAGACCTGGTCTAAGGTGACGAGCAGCAAATAAGGTACAGTTCACGTTCTGATGAGCACCTTGTAGAAGGCTTCTTCAAAAACCAGCAAAGGTCCAGAGAAACCAATGATGAGAAGAGGCTGACCAGCAAACAGAGAGAAGATGACTCCAAGGGTGGCAGTTGAAACAATGAGCTCAGTCACACCCATCAGGCCCTCAGTTTTCTCTCCTGTGTGGAAGAAACACCACAGGTAACTCAGACCATCAACCAACATAAGCTTTGCCTTGTTATTGACATGAATGGTTCTGGTTTACCCAGCAGGCCTCCAAAGGTGATAGTAGGTGACAGAGCAGCAAAATAAATAAAGATGACAGCAGCAATACACTGCATATCCAGAGCGTCTTTCAAATCACTGACATAGTGTGGATAGCGCCGGCGAATGTCGTGGATCAGGCCTCCAAATGGGACACCTGAGCGCTGTAAAGGGTCCACCTCTTGCTCGCCTTCCTCCTCCTCCTCTGGAATCACTTCTGAAAGGGAGGGGTATTATCATAGGCTTCATGAGAACTGAGAAAACCAAATTATGTAAGTTTCTAAACCTCATACAGCTGGAAGGTACTTCCAATTCTTCCTCTTGGGAGGCAGTACCTTTGATGTCCTGTTCCACTGCAGACACAGGGTGGTACTTCTTCCCTTCTCGTTCTTTTCTCTTGCGCAGCAGCTGTTTCTGGAAGTCAGCCACTGTCTTCAGCAGGTCTTTGCCCTCCACATCTGAAGGCGGAATGACGATGCTGCAGTCCAAGAATTCATTAATGCCATTCAAGAGGTCCTGCCTGTCGTCAGCAAAGTAGGCCACCTCATGAAAGTTCTACAACAAAACAGAAGACGGTCTGAGAAAGAAAATCAAAACAACTGACCATTTAACCTAAAAATCAAAGTTATTTTTGCTTAGGGTGTGTTTGCTTTGGTACCGACCCCAAAAGTAGTCTTGACTTGGGGTCAGTACCAAAGCACTTGGTCAGTACTTGGGGCTTAGGATGTGTGAGAGAAGTGGTGTGTGCTCTATTCAGCCTGAATAATAGTAGCTGTTAGTTAGATGATTCTGCGGAGTGTGAATATCCAATATCCAACCCTAAACCAACTTCACTGTGGTCTCTATTCACACAAGGAGAGCTGTTGGTCAGCCTACTTGTTGTGCCATGCTCTCTAAAATAGTTATTGAATCAAATGTCTACGTATGTTGGTAAACGTTTGTTTAACAACCTGTTAAAATACACCAGAATGTAGGAAATTGCATCTAATTTATTTAAAAATTCTGGGGGAGGACCCCCAGACACCCGCACCAGTGTGTCCCCACCACATTACAAATGCTTCTGATACAGATGACGACAGATCTAGTGGTGGTACAAATGTGTATCAAGTTTGCTTAAATTATCTTGAGTGGAGTAGAAGCAAAGAGCAAAGAGCTTGTTTTAATGTTCACCCTGATTTGTGACCTTGACCCAGGTGCTGGTGTGAGAAAAAAGTGTACAGGACACTCCATGTAGTGATTATGCTTATGTGTATGGAATTTTATTAAATTATCTTGAGAGGATCAGAATTTATGGGACGGACAAGAAAAAGTTTACAGATGTATGGACAGACGGAGACCATATCATTATTGGACTGGCATAAAAAACTGTTTACTAATGACAGCCTAGCTTATTGAAGATGTGTCCTTTTCGCAGGAAAATATTCAATTGCTTCAATTGCGTCATGTAAATGTAAAGATGTCACGCAAAATGCAGCATCAGAGCTAACCCTGGAAAATGGTGATGGGCCTTAGTACACAAGTTCATATGTACCTTGTCAGACATGAGAGTGGCGAAGGAGCGTCCAATCTCATGGTAGTCCACATTAGACTGGCTGGGTCCGAGCAAGACAAAAATAAATCGAACCGGAACAGGAACCTCAAGTACAGACTCTAGGAGGACAGCTTCACTCAGCCTTACAAAGGCCATGGCTGGCTGCTCCAGAAATTCAACACAACCTGAAAAGAAAAACACCAAATTTTAAAAAAGTTTCACCATAACCCATTAAACAACAGTAACTAAACCAAAATGACCCTTGGGACCTTAGTTTTAAAACTGAGGTCTCGTAAGTCATTTTGACCGAAGGGCAGCAGGAGGATAAACAGCTACAATCTCAAAACTTTCATAGATTTCATTAAAAAAAACAACAGTTTTTAAAAATGTTACTGTGATGTCAGTTTTGCATCCCCTGGTTTTTCTGGCAGAGATGTTCTGATATGACTGCAGGGAGTGCCACACCTGCACAGGAGGTGCTACAACTAGCTGCTGCTGATGATGATGTTTGTGCTTTTACGTAACTGTGTAATAGGAATGTACAGTAGGGGTTTCTAAGCTAGCTTCTGTATGAAACTCTGTGAAATGTTCTGGTCTGAAGCTGTTTTTTTGGACAGTAGGAATCCCCTTTGGTCTTGTCCTTGCTTGGACTAGCCATTAACTCATCAGTCTGATCAGAATGAAACAATCCTTCAAACTTAGGTCAGTTAAGGAGTTATCTGCAACATTGTTTGTACTGTATCTTCAGAACTACACCTCTAAAAATCAGATTTGTTTTCCCCAAAGAAACAAAGAATTAAAGAAAAGGTATAAAACCTGCTGGTGAAGTTTCTCAGTCGTCTAGGTCATGGTCAATCGAAAAAAGGAAAAAAAAAAATACTGGACTTCTATTCTGAATGGAAATCCAGTTGTTTTGTTTTTAATGATTTTGGACAGACATAAAACCTCTTCCAGATTTACCTCATCTCTTGAGCTTACCAACTAAAACAATGACAGCTTCTGCGTCTTTAGGAATCTTGGCGAGCAGCTTCAGGGATCTGGCTGCAGCCGGGTGATGCTCGGGAGGCAGAGGGTGGAGAGATTTCTTGGAGGACAAACACAAAGATTACTCACTTTACTGGCCGGACTTATGTGATGTTACACAATAACAGGGCATTAGACCGAATAATGTGAAATTTATGTATATTCTGTCTTTACAGTTTATATTAAACAACACAGATGTACAATGTTTCGTTTAAAGAGTGTTTTAATAGTGTGGTTTAATGTTGCCAAAGTTTGAAGCCAGGAGGGACATTAAGTTTTCACAGTTAGCATATCAAGAAGTTTTAACCAGAAGCACCTGTGGGCTGAGAATGAGAGTGTAATTCAACACATGTGGCACGGGGAGGCTCGCTGTCTCCAACTTCAAGAAGTACCTACACATCTGACCTCATGGCGTGCCGTTTCAAAGACCAAACCAAGAGCCTTGGGCATTACTTCAAGAGTTTTATCTAATCATAATAAAGTGTATGCTAACTGGGGATATTTAAACATTAATGCAAGCCATAAATTAGAACAAGACAGATCAGAATGACTTTTATCTCTGTCCATTTAGATTCCTGAGTTCAATTTTCTTGGTGCACTTTTGTCAAAAGTGGTTAATCACCATCTTCAGCGTTGTCAACACATGCAGTGTTCGCTGACCGCAGCGCTTCATCTACGTCACTGCTTTTAAACACCCAGGCTCGTTATTTCCAGATTCCCGTCGAGAAGCTTCTTGAGAATATGAATATAAAATAGAAATCGTACAAACAGGCTGACAAACACGTCTTGTTTGGGGTCGTATACTGGTCCTTTGCCATCGTGGTGCTCGTCGTTCTCTTCCATCACCAGCGGCACGTTGGTGTCCTGGACGTGGTTGTGGTTGAAGCTGCCATGAAGGCTACCGGATGAGTGGTGACGGTGGAAACGATGCTTCAGATCACTCGGATGGCTGTGAACAAAAACCAAACAAGCATTGGCTTTTATGGTCTGCCTGCAAGCTTTTTAAAGTGAAAGGTGTAGCCCAAAACATCTAATGTTCAACAAGAACGTTATTGCTATAATGTAGTTTCCAGACTCAGCTAGCATTAGGGTTGGGTTGATTTTTTTTTTTTTACCCTCATGTAATTAAGTCCCATTCAGTTTTTTTAAGTGAAGATGGACTGATTATTTGGCCAACATAATAAAATGGCCATTATTGGCAAATTTTAAGAAAATATGCCATATAAGTTATGGCATGGCCAATATACCATGCCTTAACCGATTACCAAGTAGGAATGCAAACTACGACAGATGCTGCTACAACCAACTTACTGTAGCCATAAGTTAATTATCCGTCCATCCATTCATTATCTTTTACCCGCTTCTTCCATTTTTGGGTCACGGGGGTCTCTGGTGCCCATGTCCAGCAATCACTGTGCGAGGGACGGGGTACACCCTGGACAGGTCTCCAGTGCATCACAGGGACACATAGAGACAAATGAGACAAACAACCATTCACTCTCTCACTCACACCTAGGGACAATTTAGAGTTACCAATCAGCCTAACATGCATGTTTTTGGTTTATGGGAGGTATTCGGAGTACCCAGAGAAAATCCACTCATGCACGGAGAGAACATGCAAACGCCATCCAGAAAGGCCCCCGGATGGGATTTGATTCTGTAATCTTCTCGCTGAGAAGAGGCTGATTTACCAACTGCACCACCGTGCTGCCAAGTTAAATGGCAAATGAACTGCACTCATCAAGACACTCAAAGCACTTTACACAACAATCTGTGCCCTCATTTACCCATTCCTACAGCACTCTCCTAGATCTCTACACAGATTAATCAGCGCTTTAGATCACATTCATACACCGATGGGACACACATCAGAAGGAATGAGGGGTTCAGGGTCTTGCCCAAGAACATTTCAGCATGCAACTGCCGGTGGAATCGAGCATGATGACTGCTCTAACCCAGTGTTTTTCAAAGTGGGGGCCGCGGCCCCCTAGGGGGCCACCAGGGGGTGCTAAAGGGCCCCCAGGAAGCTGAAGAGAAGAAGATTTTAAAAAGCAAAAATAAAAAATAGTAGTAATAATAATAAAAAAAATTACCCACTAGGACAATCTGTAGCTGTCATTTCCAGATAAACACAGTTGAGAGAGAGGTTAGATTTCTTTTGTTTTCTTCTGGTCAACAGTTTATTAAAAAGTTGTTGGGGGGGTTCAGTAGGAATATTATACAGTGTTTAAAATATGTTAGTTAATAACATTTTTATGCTCAGCAGCTGTAATAATTAATTTAATATAGTGAATAAAAGTTAAAACATTCTAAAAGTTGATGTTTCTTTACATATTTTGTAGCATTGTTTGTGAGTGTGCGAGTGGGGCCTTGGCCAGAAGCTAATGCTTTTTTTTGGGGGGGGTGGGGGGGGGCATGGCATGTAAAACTTTGGGAACCCCTGCTCTAACCACTCAGCCACAGCTGCTCCATAAGTTAGGCAATTATATTATTATTTTTGTTCTATGGGAAATATGCATATTGGTCAAAAATAAAACTTGTGTTATGTATTAGCCCTGATTTCTAAAAATCAGCATTAACCATAAAGAACTCATACTGGTCAACCTCTACTTTTAATTCACAATTTTATTTATTAATAATCCCAGTTCTGGTGCTCAAACAATAATATCTTGTGCGCAGCAGAAACATGTCTGATATGCAGCAACCCTTGTTAGGTACAACAGACTATCTAGTGCATTATCCATTTGGAAAGTGGATAAAAATATTTATTTGATCTCAATTTAAATTTTGAATGTTAAGTCTACATTTGTACGATTTATTTTATCTTCAGAGTGTTTGAATGACCCTATCAGGAAAATAAAAGTGTTTTTAAGAATCATCTTCTGTAAACATTCTTTATAGTATTTTTTTAAAACCACACAATTCTAATTGAAATCGAACACATTGTAAAAACGCAGACATGAACATACAGCAGAAAGAAAAAAAAAAAAAACTTTGTAGGGTGTTCATCGTTTGTGGCATCAACTTCCAGGTTCTGGTGCGGTCACTAACAATCACGTATGCCGATGATACAGATCAGTCCAGATAACCACGCCCACTGGATGTTTTAACCCACAGCTATTGGTAGAGTTAGGGTTGGAGTTAGGAAAAAAACTGCTTTTTGATAACAGACCTGAAGCAATGTCTCATATCCAACAATCAATGTTGCATTCTTACATGTGTTTCTTGCATAATTGTATTTAGCCTAAAGAACTAAAAAAAAAAAACCCCAAAAAAAACTTCCTAACTGCTAAAAAAAGCAAATTTTTGAGATGTTCAGGGAAATCAATTACTATTACCATTAAAAAAAAGTATGCAAATGAACTAAAAAGCATAATTTTTTATTTATATTTTATTGGAATAAAAACTGATACTCTGGACATCTCAATATACTACCCAGCACTTGTTGACTAATTTATATTTTGTTGGTAAATCAATCTGTTCGTGCTCTGCTGTGAGCATGTGCAGATATTAACCCCTATTGACAAAATGTCAATAAAAACACGGATAATTTCTGCACATCTGATGATAAGCTCATTGCATTCCCTCCTGAGAGAAATATTACCCACTAGCTGGGTTTTCAGTAGTTTCATTACACCGCTGTGAAGTCCACCGGTGACATCATCTCACTTATGAGGTCCACATGGTCCCGTAAGGCTCTGCCTCGAATTGGATGTGACAGCGCCCCGAGACAAAAGAACGAGGTGTCTCACTGATGTCAGTCATGCTCAAGATGTCTCCAAAGGACACTTAAAGTGCCATGACTAAGAGATGAGCTCAGCTTTAGCAGCACCTAAATGTGTCTCGGTCCAAGTCGTAAATCTGATCACTCGGGCTGGTGCCGACTCTAATGACAGAGTTTGCTTTTCCCTGGAGGAGCAGCCTATGTCACACGGGGAATTTATGGAAAGACGATGGCCGGCTGCAACCAGCGTGCTCTGGCTAGTTTCTTTTATGTCCATCTGTGGTGTCGCTTTGTGAGCATGTGTGAAAACGCCATTGTGCGCTGATCGGGGTTGATTCAAACGCAGCCCGTCAAGTTGTAATACAAATGGCTAAAAACCAACAATTGAGTGTTACACCAGCATTTAAACAATATTAGTCTTATAAACCGTAGCCTGTAGCATTCGCACTGAACAGCTCCCATGGATCAAAGAGATCTTTATGGTTTTATTAGAAGCTGACAAATCTGGACCCATTTAGACATTTAGGTCTGTGTTGTATATTTTGTTCACATCTGAGAGTGCAACAGTACCACAAATTATCATGTTAGCACGCTCACATGTTTACAGCTCAAAACCAACCTGATGATTAACAAACAGGTGCATCATTAATTTCTGCCACATCTAGTCTGTTAACTCACAGTAAACTAAGATACAGAAAACACAACATACGTTGTATTGGCCATTAAGCCTAAAAACTGCCTGAAACTTCAACATCTGTCAACTTTCTTCTCTAAAGTGTGACAGTAAATTCACACTTCCTTTTCTAAGACTCTGGGCTAAAAAAAAAAGGCAGACGTTGAATCTTGTAAATTGTAGAAGAAGAGTAAAATGACTCAAGATCTAAAAAAAAAAAAAAAAATACAAAAAACTGCTGCCACTGGCTCATTGCAGTTACCATGGTAACCTCACATCTGTGTCTGTCATTCCCTGACAGCACATTCAATAAGACGGACGGGCAGAAACAGAGAGCAGAAACTGAACCTCAAACAGACTCTGTGCAAAATGTTAAGTCACATTGAAGATGTGACTTAACATTTGACTTCACAAGTCCTTCATCCAAAAGATTTGTGACGTCCATTGGATGAAACGTCTCAACAAATAAAGAAACTGTCCAGATGACCTCACTGAACTTTGTTGGATTTTCTACCTGGATTACTGAGCATGAGCTTTGATGTTTTGAATCACTTAGGCTATGGCTGCCTCGGAGGATTTGACAGGGGAGAGGGCAGGCCCCAGAAATCATTTTTAGTTGGGGGAGTGGTGGTGCAGAGGTTAGAGAAGGTGGGCTTGTGATCGGAAGATAGCCGGTTCAAGCCCCAGTACCAACAACATCAAAAAATGTGGGTGGGGTAGGTGAAGCACCTGTCCCCACCCTCATTCACCCCACTCTTGGCCCATGAGCAAGGCCCTTAACCCCCATCTGCTCCCTAAACAGGTCTCTCTTGAAAATGAGTTCTCGTGGCTCAATGAGACTACCTGTATAAATAAAGGTTAAATTGAAAATAAATAAATAAAAATATTACCAGCCAACTGGTAGGCCCACTATGTGAGTGTGCTGTTTGTGGGACACAGTTTGTTGTGACTCCTGGATTTTTTAGTTTCTATACTGTTTTATGTACCAAATATGACAAGCTAAATAAAAACAGTCCCATTAAGTCCTTGAGTAGAAAATTCAGAGCTCAAATAAATATAATATTGAGAAGTGTATGAGTGTGGTGGGATTACTTTCTACATTATGGGAGGGGATTGGGGAGAAAACCAAAAGTCTTATAACAGTGAGAGACTCACTGGATTAAAAACACAAACACCTATGTTTTGGCATACACACTATATAAAAGGTGTAAAGACTTTGAGAATAAAGAGTTTGCCAATAATTTGGAAAATTTTGGCAGCTCACAAGTTAAAATGTGCAACATCAGGAAGTTTTATATTCAGTGATAACTTTTTTTTTTTAATTACAAAACCTAAAATGATCATTTGTAAAAACTTGGAACGTTATCAAAATACCAGTTCAGTCATGTGAAGCCCAACTTTCCGTAACCCGTCCAAACTTTGAACGATGTTTCTGCTGTGAAGTCTGCCTGACCTGCAGAGTTCCAAACATTGTTGTAACATTGTATCAATCCAAACTTGTTCATCAAAGTTCCATCGTTGTCAACAGGGAAACTTATTGCAGTTTTTAGATCAATTTGTCCACATCATCCACCGTCCAACTTCTGTTTATTTGTATGCGTTTTTCAAAGCTCGCGGTCGGAGATGCAATCAAATAAATGATGACAAAAACAAGAATAACCACCAAATAACATTCCAGATGTTTCATTTTCACTAAGATTAAAAATGAAGTTTGATAAAACTCGCTGTGCTTTTTCACCCTTGGATAATTCAACAAGATTGCTGCCTTTTAGATAACGTTATTTGTGTTATGTAAGAACAATCGTTAACTCACTAATCCAGTGGTCGGGTCAGTTTAGACGACTCGTTTCTTTGAAGCACCGATCTATAAGTTGAGGCCATTGTAGAAAACTATGTCACATACCACCATAAGATATGTTTTATTGAAAATGATTCTGGAAATAGAAAGCAGCTCAAATCATGGGTTGGTAAACTGGGATTATGACACCAACAAACACCAACCTTGGTGTAAATCACATGCACTTCTATCGATTAAAACAGAACTGCACTCAATAGTTTCCGTTAGCCATGACGACTGCAGCAACATCAAAGACCTATGAAAGAGCATTTTCTTCAGTATATTTTACTCTGAAAACAACCAAATGACTTAAATCTTTTTGATATATTGTTTCCAGTCAGGTTGAACCACCCACCCTTAAAGAATGAATCCGATAGATGGTTCATATTGAGTCAGTCTTTGATTCGACTTTGTTTTAAAACTTGGTGTGACTACAGAATAGTCACAGCAGGGAAAATACTCCAACTGATGAGCCAATTCTTGTTAAATGTCACTTTTGGAAATTCCCTGCTTGGTTCCCATGAGTTATGCTTTTTATGGTGCAAAATCCTTGAATTCTCTCCACCTATTATTTAAATGCACGAAAGCTGCACACAAACTACAGCGAACTAAAAAGTCAGTTAATACTTGGATGAAGAAAATATTACTGATATTACATTTAATTTACTGGGTGGCATAAATGTTTGCTGTTGACAAGGTAGGTATATATAAAAAAAAACAGACAAAAATGTTATTTTGTTGTCTTATATGTTGATAATTTAGGTAAATATCTTTGGAAATGTTCAGAAACTAAGAACAGCCAAGACAGACGGTATTATTTCTGATGTTTTCTCACTTTCATGAAAAGTAAATTAAAATAGCAAAGCTGGTTTTATGTTTTATCTGGAGGACTTGATCTTTTGTGTTCTGAAGATAACCGCGTTTCTGTGGAGAAAAAGCCAGATTTTCCTGGGATTACAGTGGTCTCTCACTTATCGTGGGGGTTACGTTCTAGAAATCCAGAGTATAAGTGAAAATCCACGAAGTAGGGACGTTACATTTATTTTAGTATTTATATATATTTTAAGGCTTTATAAAACCTTCCCACACTCTTGCAATCTTTTTAACAATGTTCTAAACTCTCTAAATGCTCTAAAATGCACAGCAAGAGAGAGCAGATATTTCCCAGTGCTCCCGATGGCCAGTCCGCCCCCTCCTTTCTTTTTCTGAGGCTGTCTGTCACAGCACAGCAGAGACACAAACAAGCGAGTGCACAACCTGTGTGTGTTTCTGCTCTGCTGTGACAGACAGCCTCAGAAAGAGAAAGGAGTGGGCGGGGTTCGTCTTTCCCCATTGCTACTGCTCAGCGGGCCAGGCCACCAGGAAATGTCTCAGTGCTCCCGATGGCCGATCTGCCCCTCAGCACAATGCTCTGGTTGGTCGCCTTCCATCAATCAGCCAATCGTGTGTCGTGTTCAATCTTACTTTGAAAACCAGCGAAAGAGTGAGCCCGCGGAAGTCGAACCACGAAGTAGAGAGGGACTACTGTATAAGATATTTATGGTTCCAAATGTGTGAATTATTGGTTACAACCAATTTTATCATGGATCAAGACGCTCAGAAAGTATCAGTTAACTTAGTTGACCTTAAGGTGTGAAATATTGTATTTTTTTGTAGTAAAAACTGCAACAGATGAACTTCTTATCTAAATAAGATGTGTATGTCGGTGTGCTTGCTGACCTGTGTTTGAGAAGCAGAGCGCGAAGAACGCTCGGTCTGTCCTCGGCTCTGATCTGATCAGAGATGATCATCGTCTCCACAACAAGATGAGCGATACCAGGGAGAGAGTTCTGCTCAAGGTCCAAAAGGATGGCACCTGGAAGCAGAGAGAAAACAGAACCAGGAACAAATATGGTTGCTATTTGAGAATTTAAAAAACTCATTTTCTGTAAACTGTTTGGTGAAATCTTTCCAAGCAGCAAAAATATTCTGTTTTAGGTTTTTTATGGGATTGTAGTTTTAGCAGCAGCTACCACAAACAAAATATGGCTACATATTACCATGAGTGATGGTCCGACGAAGCTCCAACAAACTGCGGAAAGACAGCGAAGCCACGTGAGGCTTGCCCCAACGGTCCGTCTCCTCCTCAACATCCTCCTCAAACTTGATCCAACGAGCTCGCTCCTTCCAGCGCATTTCCTGCTCCTTCTCCACAATCAGCTCATTGAGCTCAACAAACAGCTGAAGACAGAGCAGGACAGAAACGTCAGCACAAGTTTTGATGTTCTGAGAAAAATGCTGGTAAAGCTTTGCACTGTTCAAGGAAAAAAATGCATCTAAATGACCAAATAACACGATTGTGCTCATACCTCATGTGTTTTCTTTTCTGCTGCCCTCTTCTTCTTCTTTAAGCTGGACAGTGGGGTGGAGCTGATGCTGCCCCGTGACATCTGACATCGGGACGACTTCTTCACAAGGTGGCGCCGTACGCCGGGGTTGTCCTCAAACCTGTGACCTGCAAAGACAGGTTTTCAAGTTAAATGGCTGCCTGAACCTGGAGATAAGGTACACAAAAAAGATGCCTGGGTGATAATGTTTTTGCCTCATCTGTAAGTGTTTGTTGGTCTGTTAGCAAAATGTCACATAAGCCACTGGGCATATTTTAATGAATCTATCAGTAAGTAATCATTGTATGTACAAAGTATACAGTACATCTAACTGATCAGCCTTTTGAGTCAACCCAATTCAAAATGGTCACCACAGCCAACTAACGTTAGCATACACAAAAATGGCTCCAACTCAGTCAGTTGTACAGAAGTTGAGCTCAAATGGGGTGTGGTAGTAACTGAGAGTCATCCCCAAGATGTACTCTAAGCAAAGAGAGATCATTCAAGTCGTTTCCTATTTGTCTGTTAGCAAAATATCTCATAAAGCACTGAGATACTTTAATAAAACCCTCAAAGAAACCATTTGATGAATGTCAATAATAGAATAACTTTTAGTCAATACAATTAACATGACCACTTCTATTAAAAATGGATGGATGGATAGATGGATGGATGGACGGACGGACGGATGGACGGACGGATGGATGGATGGACGGATGGATGGATGGACAGATGGACGGAAGAACAAATGGATGGATGAACAGATGGATGGGTGGATGGGTTGATGGATGGACGGATGGATGGGTGGGTGGGTGGGTTGATGGATGAATGGCAAGATGGATGGATGGATGGATGGATGGATAGATAGATGCACAGCTGGAGGGACAGACAAATGGACAAATGGATGGATGGACAGATAGATGGGTGGATGGCTGGATGGATGTATAGATAGATGAACAGCTGGAGGGATAGACAAATTGACAAATGGATGGATGGATGGTCAGATGGATGGGTGGATGGATGGATGGATGTATAGATAGATGAACAGCTGGAGGGATAGACAAATAGACAAATGGATGGATGTATAGATAGATGGATGGATGGACAGATCCCAAAGAAGAGTTGAAACAGACAACAAAGGCTGAAAAACATTTAATTGGGGATGAGTCTTCACCTCAGGTGGAGTTTAAAGTCCTCCAGGTTTACCAAGTGATGGTTGGAAGTAAAACCACTTCATGGCTCACAAACTTAAAGCCAGTGGTTTGATTTTCTGATATTTTTATCATCTACAAAAGTATCTTTTTCGATTCTCCCCATGTTCAAATAATCCATCCTTTGTAACCCAGCAGTTGTCTGAGCCACAGCTAAACTTATTAGTAGGTACAGTGTAATATAATTACTTGTTTATTTTCCATAAGAAAAGAAAAACAGTTTACAGAAGTGGGTATGGGACAGGAGAGCCACAATATATTTGTCAAATGTTTTTTCGCTCCGGCTGTGGCTGACCCTACAGCTGAAATGGGTGTCGTTGGATCAATAGAAAAGTGGGAAACAGCTACGGTGGAGTTCCACATCAATTCACTCAATACCGTGGGCAACTTTCCTCTCTGTGAATGAGACGTACTTGTTTTCAGCTGACCACTGGACGGAAACAAGTGACTTCCTGTTTATTGATCGCTCATGTAAAAATAGAGTATTAAAACTAGTCAATGTAAATTTCTCTGCCTGTTTGGGTTACATCAGAACTTCGGAAGCATGACGTTGTCGTTGTTACTTAAAATAAGGAATGTAGCATATCAACTGTACAATACCAAACAACAACTTTGGGATTTCACTGTATATTCTTTAACCCTGATGGGTACAATGATGTGGCAGTTGGTTAGCTCTTTTGTCTCGCAGCAAGAAGGTCACAAGTTTGACTCCTGACTGGGGACTTTCAGGGTGGAGTTTTCTTCAGCCTCCTCCCCCAGAGCAGTCGTCCTCCAGTGCAAGAGTTGGGGGTTCGAACCCACCAGCAGCCACATGCTGAAGTGTCTCTGGACAAGACACGGAATCCCTCACAGCCTCTGATGTGTGTCCCATCAGTGTATGAATGTGATCTAAAGCTCTGATTAGTCTCTTTAGAATGATTTGTTCAATTAGCTTTGTAGAGATCTAGTAGAGAGCTGTATGAATGGGTAAATGAGGACACAGATTGTAGTGTAAAGCGCTTTGAGTAACGTGAAATAAGATAGAAAGGCGCTATAGAAGTACAGTCCATGATTGCCCCATGAACATTCGCAAGCACACAAATGGCAACGTCAGACACTTGTAAACACTGAACATGTGAACTCTCTTTGTAAGAAGACCAACCAGAGAATAGAATTTATCAGAGCTCTGTGGGTTTAAGTTGATTATACTTTTATGAGAATGTTTTATTCATGTTTTATTGAGTCTTTTTTTTTACTTTTAACTTCATCTGTTGGTTTGAACTTTTGACATGCATAAACAGAAACTTAAGCCCCCAGTATACTCCCCCGTACATCCGTACGCGGAGGTACGCGCATACCCCCCCAGGGCATGTCCGCGCAAAGCTCAGTTTTTACGAATGCGCACGTGTACGCGGTGTCACGCAATAAACTGCCCGGCGACGGACTGTTCTGTATGCGACACCAATGGATTAAATTCCCCTTCTTCATCTCTGATCTGGCCTTTTCTTATGTTTTTTTGCCAAAAGGCAAGTGATCTCTTCCTCCTCCGTTGATGCCATGACTGAAATGGTGAGAAATGAAATAATTTGTCACGAGCGAATTAAACTCAGGTCCAGCATGGCTGCAGGAGGGTCTGGAGATTTCCAGGTACGCTGTTCTGGTGTGTGGGCTGCAGGACCATCGCTCCCTGTTTTTTTTTTTTTTTTTTTTTTTTTTAGATCTTTTTATTAACAACATATAAACGCAGGACACCGCTGCGGCTGAGGCTGCCAGTGCTCTGGTTTTTTTTCTTCCGACCTGTCAATCAATCAAGTAGGCATGTCAGCAAATGACCAATCAGCGACCTCAATTTGTCCCGAAGGTAAACGCCCCTTGTCTGTGGAGCTGCTCTGCAGCCGCTCAGGGTGGACACACAAGTATTAAGCCTGAACATACAGTACGTGCGTACGTACGCGTGGACGCACATATGCGGGAGTATACTGGGGCTTAACTCTCAGGGATCGTCAGGATGTGCAGCAAAACTGCTGGCATAGCCCTACAGAACCTCAATGACCTACAAAAAGCAAGATCAGTGAACAAGGCCAGGCTGATTCTGGCAGATCCTGATCATCCACTCCATGGTGAATTCAGGTTGCTTCCATCTGGACGCAGGTATCTACTGCCCAGATGTAGGATGAACAGACTGAAAAGCTCATTCATCCCTGTAATGATCAGGCTTCACAACGAACAGTGATGATTCCTGTATTGTTATTTTAATGTCCCATTGTCTTATCTAGTATGGATGTTTTATGTGTCTACTGACTGTGAAACAAATTGCCCCTTGGGGATAATAAATATTCTTGAAATTTAACTTGTACAGGCATTGAGTTTCAAACTTGGTGTGGCATCAGCTGAGAGTCATCCCCAACACGTCCTCTGAGCACTGCCTTAACTTTATTTGAAACTTTAAAATGCAACGCTAGTTTAACTATTTTTTCTCTTGAGCAAAATCTTTATTTTTTAGGATTATATTCCAGTTAAATGTGAATGAACAGCTCGTCTGTGAATCAGCAGGGTAAAGGCTGAAGCTCCAGAGAAACCAGAACATCCCAGCTCAACTTACGCGCTGGATCCAGCGGTGACTCCAGCTGACTGTGGATCGACTCCAGCAGATCGTAATCATCAAAATCCAAAACAAACTCTTCAAAGTCCTCAAACCCGTCCACGTTTGAAAGCGAGCCCTGGTGCTGCAGAGCGTTGCCGGCTACTCTCTGGACGCTGATGCGACGAACGGCTCCTTGGTTGTCGCTCAGCATGTTCTCAGAAGACCCGGGTCTTTGGGTCTGCTGTCCTGCCATGTCTGTCATCTCCACAGTGGGTGTCTCCTCCTGTCCACCTCTCTACAGACAGACACACTGCTCATCCAGGGCGTCCAGCACTTCAGCGCCGTCGCTCTCCTTGTGTTGAAGACCCTAACCCTACCGTTTATGCTTTTTGTGCAAAAGCAACTAAAAGACACAAGTGTTCATCTGCAAGGAGGCGAGAAATTCCTTCTAAAGTACAAGTTCAGAGAGGGTCAACTCCTGGAAATTAGTTGTTTGCTTCAAAGAATGGCAGAATTATTGTAAAATAGCATTAATAAAGTCCCGGTTTGCAAAAATAGGATATCCTGCTTTTGGCACTTTATCCAAATAAAATGCACCCGCAGACAGGAGCCCAGCTGGATCCTGAACCTGAGCAACACAGAAATGGTAACATCTGCTTCAGCTCTAACCCTAAAAGGAAGTATTGATAAGAGATATCCCACTGAAAGACTGGCTGATCAGCTGGGTGTTGGTGCCGCCCGGTTTTAATGATGCACACAGTTTATTGATCATCGCAGCTGCTGAAAAAGCAGAGGAAACTGGATTGGATCAGGGTGGATGACAGCCCATAGTTTCCAACTGTGCTGCCATAACTTCCTAACATGTGATGTTTGGAAGGACGTTCCCACCAGAGCTAAAACAAGAAGAGCGTTCACATCACTAAGATAAGAGCTGAATAAAACAAACACACCTAACGGGTCTGCTCTGTGTCGTTGCTCAGCAGACAAATCAGAGTTAATTATCAGCCGGGGCTGCATCGTTAAAGTCACTGCGTCTCCATGGTAACCAGCCATCCCCCCTGAGGCGTCTGGGTCTGACTCGTCCGCAACAGGTGCACCGATGTGTGCTGAACAGCATCCCCGAGAGGCTTCAGCGTTACGTCCGACTCACTCTTTGTGCACGTGTGTGTGCGTTTGTGCACAGAAATACTTTTAGTTTCTGCTGCACAGCTGAAGGCAGCCAGAAAACCTGTGGTTCAAGTGGAGGGGTTCAGGTATCTGAACGTGACGGAGCCAGAGACTGGGTAATCATCTGCAGTAATGAGGGTGTTGCTCCGGTCGGTCGTGTTGTAAAAGGTTTACTGCTCCGTTGACGTTACCACCCTCATTCAAGAACATGGCATTTGGATGAGAAAATGATCCTGGATACAAGAGTCTGAATGGAATCAGGAGCTTCCTCCTTTGGAGTGGAGCTCCTCCTCCTCTGTGAAGACAGGTGTCCACTGAGGGGGTCCTGGTGTCTGATCAGGACAACTATCGTCCCATCAAGAAAGAAGATCCAGACGGATTTGTTGAAGGGATTGGGAACACTTTGGAATCTGGAGCTGGAGGGAGCCCTCCTGGACCTGCTACACATGACGCAACCTTAGATAAGGAGGAAGTGGACACACCGATGGACAGATGGACAGTTTGTGTTGCTCAAAGGAAGCTGAAATATGGATTTGATGGGATTCCTCTTGGCGGCAAAATTTCCCTTTTTTCTGTTTTGGTTTGACAAAAAAATATTTAGCTTGAAGTTCTTTAAAATTAAAATTAAAATTTCTCCCATGATGCAGTGCTGCAAATGTCAGTTTACTGAATAATGATTTTAATTATGAAACCACAAACACAAACCTGTGTACACAATTTCGTTCCATCACATGTACCACGTATGATGCGAATGACAATAAAGAACCTTGACCTTGACAAACACACACACACAAAACGCTCTCGCTCCAGTTTAATTATAATGGTTCTGTCTTTTCTCAACACCAGTTAGTCCCATTTAGAACCCATCCAGCTGACAGTTTAGAGGTGTTTAAAGACGTTCAGACTTCACTAAAACGTTGTTTTCTTTTTTCCTCCAGATAATTAGGGTTTAGTGTTTATTTTGGTTTGTTCTTCTTGGTTTCTTCCACCCGTCAGGTTCCAGTTTGCTAATTCGCCTGATTTTTACCTGGTTGTTTCAACGGATTTACAAGTTTTTTTAATTGAGTGACGTAACAGAAAATAATTAGCCCTAATCAACATCTTTATTAATTTTCATTTTAAAAGAAGAAAGTAGATGTTTTTAAATGTGAGTGCGCTTCAAGTTTAAAGTCATTTCTTTAAGGAATGCATGTCGCCTGCCGCCTTTCATGCCAGAGTTTTAAACTACGATCATTTGGTACATTTTTAAAATACGTGTTGGCTTCTCTGTGTTTCCATCAACTTTTAGCTCAACGTCTGTAGAAGTGACATTTTTATGTTTGCTCTAATTAACTAGCTGTGGCTGCTGTTCTAAACCTTCACCTGCTAGCCTGCATTTTAGGGCCTCTCGACGTGAATCACAGATCCATCGGCTTGTTTTTTTCTGTGACCAGATGGATCCCGAACAGTCGATGTGTCCTCTGCTCTGAGAGGGCCAGAGGCAGGGTCGACATTCAAGGGCAACTGACTGCAGCCGCTGTTAATTAATGGCTCGCCGACGCCACAGAAGTGTTTTCTCTGAACACACAACTGTTTAAACGCCAGCTGAACATCTGAGGTTTCCTCTGAAATAACATCAGATATCTATTCAAATACATCAGAAATCATTTTCTCCCTAAGTGGAAGATAATTTATTGTATCCAATAAAACATGCATCAATGAGAGAAATTGAATTTCCTTTGAAAATGCAACATGAATGTTTCTTGCAGAACTCTGAAAAACAGCTGAAATGTAGCTGAAACAGAACAAGCCTAAATTAGCAGAAGAAAGCAGAAATAACACACACTTGCTGAATTACATTTATATAAGCAGAAATGAGCACAAAAATGGGGATATCAGCTAAAATAAGCTAACATTAGCAAAACATCTAAAAAGTAGTCGAAAAGGCAGAAAGGCGCGTACAACTTTGAGAAGAAATTAGAAAGAGCTGAAATGAGCTAAAAAATGCGGAATTATCCAAAAAAGTTAAATTTAGAAGAAAACAGCTAAAAGTACCTGAAATTGAAAAAAAAAATGCTGAAAAACACTGAAAGGAGCATAACAAGTTGAAATTAGCAGAACGAAGTTAATTAGGCTGAAAGTAGCAGGAATTACCAAGAAAAACTTGAATTTATCTAAAAACAGCTGAAATTAGCTAAAAAAAATTCTGAAAAAGTATCTGAAAAGGTAGAACAAGCTTAAACAAGCAGAAGAGGTGTCTGAAAAGGTCGAACAAGCTTAAGTTAGCAAAAGAAGGCAGAAAGAACACATTTGCCCAATTAAGCTGAAAGAAGCACAAACAAGTGGAAAATATCTGAAAAAAGCTGACATTAGCAAAAAAAACTGCTGAAAAGTAGCTAAAAACTGCTGAAAGTACAAAAAGGAAGTGGAGAAAGCACATTTTTGCTGAATTAGGCTGAAAATGTTTAAATGAGTGCAAAAAATATTAAATTAGTTGAAAAAGCCTTAACTAGCATTAAACAGCTATATAGTAGCTGAAATATTGGAAAAAGCTGAAAGTTAAAGAAAAAGGCTGAAAGGAGCATAACAAGCTGAAAGATGTTAGAAGAAGCTCAAAAATGTTGTAATTAGCAGAAAGAATGTGAAAGGAGCACAAAACAGCTGAAAAAATCAGCTGAAATTAGCTGAAAAAAATTATTAAATTTGGACAAGGAGGCTGAAAGAAGCTGAAGCAGAACAAAATGTGAAAGGAGCAGAAAAAGGTTGTAAACAGATCTAAAGATTTTAAGGAGGTAAAATGAACTCAATTCATTTTCTACGAGAAAAAGCGACAGAAAAGACTAAATATTTCAAAAAGCTAAAGTTGCACCAAAAGTCATCGCAGGATTGTCCTGAAAGAGCTGAACGTTTTGATTCATGACTTGTTGAAATTGTTAGAAAACCGTGGGACGAGAAAGATGCTGAAAAATGTACTGAAGAAAAAAGGATCACAATAAAGTGAAGGCTTCATAAACACATTAAAAACTGCCAACGTGTCATAACTACAAACAGTACATGTATTTAGAAGTAGAACAAAATGGTTATAATCAGTAATGCTTGTGCTGCTTTAACGTGTCTGTGGAACAGGATAGTAGATGTCAATAAAAGTATTTAAGTTCACATTTAAATACTTTTTCTAGACGGTATAAACTGAAGCTCCCCTGTGAGCCAAAAAGGGAATGGGCAGGTGGTTGTAGAAACAGGTTTAACACTGAGCTGGAATCCTTTTAGTTTCCAGCAGAGAGTGCTGAACCATTACGCCAAACAATTTTCTTCAGAACTTAAAATATATTTACTAGAATCTCCTGAAGTCAATATTTTTGCAGAGCTTCACTCCTTCACTTTAGTCACAGTGTTTCATTGTTTTTGCTGAGTGAATTTTACTTCTTTAATTATCTTTACTTTCTAATTTTCACCCTCCTGATTGTGTTTCTCTTCGTTTGTGCATTAAATTATTTTAAACACCTCTGATAAATAATAAACAGAATAAATGCAAAATGCTGAAAAGAGAAGGAGGATCAGTTTATTCATCATAAAAGACGTCGGGAGGCAAAGAAAATGTGTTCTGAGTTCTTTGTTTTGTGTTTTTGCAGTGTATTCACAGCGTCTCCAGATTAACAGATGGTCAACAGGATTATACCAAATGTTTGACTACAAAATAACTGATCGATGAGCTTTCAGTAAACAGATTAAAAAAAAAGGCAGATTTAAAATCGCCTAGTTGGTCATCGATTTCTTACTTTTCATGTCGTCCAGATCGGCGCTGACCAACATCTGGGCCTCGGCCTCGTCGGTGGGCACCTGCTGGTAGACGGCGGTCTCCAGAGCGGTCATGCTGCCGATGCAAATCCGATCCCGCAAGTCGTAGTTGCTGCGCTGGGCGCTTGGTAGACGGTGATGGACGGGCTTCCTGCAGAACCAGCTGTGGACTGGAGCTGAAATGAAGGGGTCTGATCCCGAGGGAGAACTGACAAAAACCAAAGGTGGACACTTTTTTAATTAAAACATCTAATTTATGTGAAGTTTTATGACTTTAAGGTCTGAACAGTGTTGAAATCTTTCAAAACGGTGCCACGTATTCTATATTGTATGAAAAGATTTGATGTAAATCTTAATTTTACTTCTTTTATAACCTGGACATTTGGTTGCAATGCTCACACATGACCAGCAGGGGGAGCCTGTGCACCACACCAGCTGTAAATCACCAAACCTCTGAGTCATCATCAAGCAGATCAACTCTGCACAGCAATGAAGGTGGTTTCTGCACCGTTATCCAGCCAGGCATCAACACAGACAAATAACCCAATCACCATGGAGCCCCTGACCTCCTGCCAGCAAACTGCATGCATCATTTAAAGCATCACCAAATTATTCATATTCTGATGATTTTTATCCAGCTGGGCCTTTTGATTACTCAGGATTCAATCTTTACCTGAGTGTATGGGTCAGTAATGGTGATTTGTTTAATGGTTTTATATCTAAAAAAAAATTACAAACTAAGCAAAAAAAAAAAAAAAAACTCTGTTTATATCTGCAGCACATCAAAAACAGAGTTTGATAGAAGTGTTCATTCAAACTGATAAAGCTCTCATTAAAAAATAAATCCTGCTAAATGTGAAGAATTACTCCTGAGAGTTTGGAGACCAATGGACATCTTCCAGAGCTGGTAACCATGGCAACAAACTCCTGTGGACTGCATTTATTGCCAGTAAACTCGAGGGTTGCTTATTAAAAGCAACGCTGGGCTTATGATTATCGCTTGCTGGCATAAAAGGTGAGCAATCCTGTAATCGCCTGTGTCTCTGTTAGCAAAATATCTCATGAACCACTGCACAGATTTTACTAAAACCCACAAAGTAATTATTGGATGTTTGTCTACGACTGATTTAACTGTTGGAGTCAACTCGATTCATCAGCCTCTACAAATGGCGTCAAATCAGAGCTTTCCGTCGTTGGTGAAGCAGAAAGCAGAGCAGGAAACTGAGGAGCTCTTTTCATGGACCCAGATCCTTCAGCTCAGCTCAGCCGAAAACAGAAAGTGCCTTTAGCTCCTAAATGGCTGTTTTCACATCACCACTGGTGGCTGCTGGAGGTGAACTGGTTCTGTGTTCGTACGCTTTTAGCCCTCTGGTTGATGCTGGTTGGTTTCATTGAACCTCCGGTTTGTGCACAACGTTCAGCTGTTCCTTGAAGGAATGCATATCACCCGCCGCCTTGTGTTAGCGCTCTGGGTGTGTGCTGGGGATGACCCTCAGCTACTACCACACCACATATCTGTAATGATAAATGAGTTATAGCTTGTTTTGGGTTAATTAGTTGACTCCAACGGTTAATGAGTTGCAGATGATGTGTGATCGCAGTGATTATGAGAATTTCATCAAAATCTAGTCGATGATTCATGAGATATTTTGCTAACAGGCAAAAAAATGACAGACATAGATGTTTACATACTAAAAACACTGTTGGGGAAAAAAAAGAAGAAGAGAAGAGCGTCTCTTCTGTCCAACCTGTTGATCGTAGCTTCTCCTTCATCCTTCTGTCCAAGAACGGGAACAGGACAAGGACCAGAACCAGAACCAGGACCAGGAACTCTCTGATGATGAGCTGCCTCTCCTATCAGAGTGAGCGATGCGTTCAGGGCCAGCGGGTGTTCTTCGTTTTCCACGCAGACGGATGCAGGTGGAGAGGGTTCCTTCAAGTCTCCTTGGCTCCCAAAACTAAACTGAGAGGAAGAGGAAGATCAGCGAGAGGAGAGGAAGAGGATGGCTCCAGCTCCAGCCATCTCCAAACCAACAGCAGCCAAACAAAAGCTCAACTCAGAGATTTGATTCTTCTGCATCATTTTACCTGCGGCTGAACGAGGAGCAGCGCTGTGGGCGTGGCAGCCGCCCCGCGTCGCTCCGTCTCAGACTCCGCCTCTTCCTCGTCTACCTCCTGTATGGTGGGCGTGACGTCGGAGGGCGGCAGCGAGGTCTTTTTTTTCTTCCGTTTCTTCTTGCGCCGGCGGTCGGCGCTGTGCACTCTCTTGCGCAGGCGCTGGGAAACGGGCAGGTGGGTGGACAGGGGGTGGTGCGTGTGGTGGAACGTATGTCTGTGATCTGTGCAAACAAACAAAACCAGAAGTGTCTGATTGGATTTTTTACTGTTTCTCCTAAAGAAAAAACATTTTAAATAACGTGCAATCAGTGAAAAATAGTCATTTTGGAGGCCGCGATAAGAAAGCAGCCCCTTCTGATGTTAGCCGCTTTAACTCCTGGAAGTCCCTTTAACTTTGTGACAGTTAGCTGAAGAAAAAAACGACCGTCTTCTTTAAACAGAATCAGTATGGTTTTATTGTTCTTGCACAGTGAAGTACAACAAAATTACTTTCCGTGCAGCCGTCCTAAAGAAGGACAAGTGTACAGGGGGCTGCAGCTTCTAAGACAGAGGTGGGAAACATTTATTTCCAAAAGGCCACATCAAGATGTTTAAAGCAATCAAAGGGCCGCATAGAGAATCGGAAAACAAATGTTCTTTATGACAGATACTCTAGACCTTGTTCAGGCTTTTTCTTATGGTAACATAAGAGCAAATGTATTTCCAATATCCTTTAGAAATATACGACACATTCTGTAAACTGGCTCTTGTGACAGTATATTATATACATTAGCTTAACATGTTATACATGTTAGCGAAAATATGCAAAACTAACTTGTATATTCGTGTTTCTAAGTCTTTAAGGTTCAGTCTAGTTCTGGAAACACACGTTTTTAAAAAAGTTTTGCATAAAATGATTAATTTAAATTTCCTTAAGTCTTGTTGATAAATTGTTGATATTTTATCAAGCTTTATTAAAAAAGTTGGGTTTTTTTATATATATAAACTAAGAATATTGGGGGTCTGATGGAGATTGTCCAAGGGCCACATTTGGCCCTCGGGCCTTAAATTGCCCACGTCTGTTCTAAGATGTGCTGCTGCTTTAACTGTAAAATAATTTAACTGCTTCAAAGTATTGTTTTGAATATTTTTATCCACAAAAACTACCGGTAGTCAATCTTTCAGAGCTATCTAAGCTACAATACAAAATGTCAAATTTAAAGGGTCATTTGTTTAAAGGAAACTCTGCATTTTAATTGTTTAAAAAGTTGAAAAAATATGTATTTTACAGCAAAATTTAATTATTTTTTTAATATATAAAATATATAATATATATTTATTAAAATATTACGTATGATTATTATTTATTTTATTATATTTGTTATATTTTAATTTATTTACTTATTTTTTATTTATTTGTTTGTTATTTTATTTTATTTTCCCCTCATTAGAATGACCAAAAGATTTTTTTGACAATTTTTTTAAATTCCGGTCCAGAGTTTTGTGAAGACCCTCCAGTCCACCGACTCAGTGAATGGACATGGAGCTTTTATTTTATTTTGTATTTTATTTTATTTTATTTTAAATGTGGTATATTCACTTGTACTGGCCCAGACATATGAGCAAGCTCCTGCGGCACGGTGCACCAGTTAATTACGTCCTGCTTTGAGGGGAATTAATGGGAGTCAGCCGCTGTCAGCCGCTGTCAGCCGTGTAACGTCCGATGCTGCAGCCTGCATGCATGTGGAGCAGCTCTTTACTACGAAACGTTCACCTGTGCACATTAAAAGTGGGTTTTTGCTCTTTACATCAAAACTCTACAGCGACGTCTGACCAGGAAAAACGTCCCTTTTCTACCGTGAGTTGATCTTTTATCTCTGTAGTTTTTCAGAAGCTCTCAAATATAAAAGCCAACCACAGAGTGAGCTAATATAAAAATTGAAAGTACCGGTACAAGGATAGAGGTATAAAGAAGAAACAAGTTTTTAAAAGGAATGCATTCATGATGTGATAATTATGGGATTAAAAGTTATAATTTTAACGTGAACAATTCCCTTCCTCGGGAACCTGAGTGTAGTAAGGTCACTGTGAGGTTATGAGAGCATCTGAAACAAATTCTGATGATTTTTAGGCTTTGTCAGGAAAAAAAAAAACTGTTTGACTGCACCAAAATAAAAATAAAAAAAATATGAACATGAACAAAAATAACCACGTGGCTGACTTTTAACCATAAGACGTGTGGCATCCATCTGCTAATCTCTCTAACGCACTCAACTGAGACAGCATATAATCCAATCTGTATATGATTATGACAGAAAAGATTGAAATAAGTACATGTATATAAACGCACTCCATGCTATTTTTAGCTGGAATAAAACAAGGAGAAACAATCAGTATTTTAAAGTTTCCTTCCTTGAAATAAAACTGTTTTCTTCTATGATCTGCAGTACAAACTATATGAATTAGTGTTTGGATTTTGGTTGCATCATTGGCATTTTAGTCCCATTTGGTTTAGTAAAACCTCAAACAGTGCAGATTGAAAGAGTTTACTCCTCTAGTTTTCCAGATGTATTGATATGCAAGTCTGAAGTTGATTCAATCCATGAGGAAGCATGAGTCATGTGACTGTCCTGCATGGGTGTGTAGGTAAACAAATATGGCGGAGTCAGTGCTTCTACATTTTGGAGACTTCCTCATGAATGGTGTTTGCCAAACTGCTCGCAGCCCAGCGAGACGCCAGCTTCACCTTTTGACCAGGTGAAGCCTTCTATGAGAAAATACGCAGCCATGCTGTGACCCTGAAGCTCTAGAAGCACATGATGGTTGAACACGGACGCTGTTCTTACACTCAAAGTCTTTCTCTGTGTAGTGGCGTCCCATCCTGTCCCCGTTGGTGGAACCGGATTCACAGATGATGTCTCTGAAACGCTCGACGGACAGGGCTTTCTCCCAGTTATCGTCGTCTTTCTCTTCGTCCTGTTCCTCCGCAGATGCCTCCTCATCTTCTTCCTCCACTTTTACCTGGAGAGGATTGAGAAACATTACCTTTTATCCCCCAATCATTTGATTAATCTTTTAAAAAGATAATCACGGGATGCACATCTTCATCTAACTGAATTAGTATTCACTCTATAGTGACACTGTTTCTCTTTATTATTTGCCTATGATTCCAAACCTTATTTGACATAAGGAGTACTTCTGCGAACTTTGTGGTATTTTAAATGTCAAAAACCTTCATTCAAGACATCACAGCTATATGAAGCACTTGGTCTTTTGGTGTTTGTAACCTTTAAACATTTCGAAGTGTTAATCTATTTAAGATGAAAGTCCATGTAGAAATACACAGAGATCTCTTTAATTCCATCCATCCATCATTTATATATCATAATATATAATGGTTCTAGAATTGCGCCGCTCGGGGGTGGCTGCTTGTTATTGCTTTAGAAAACTTTTAATTTGTCTTTTTTTTTGGATGTAAATCACTTTTTTCTATGATTATTTTCTTTGGTATCGGATGCTGTGCAGCTGGAAGGATTTTTACTTAAACTTTTTGTAATTTTTGGGCATTTGTTATGATGTGTAACCATGGCAACAAGGTGTTTTTTTTTATTTTATTTTTATTTTTTGGGGGGTTTTTTTACAACCAGGAGCAGCTGATTAACATCTCAAAAACTCAAAAAAAAAAAAAAAAAGAATTGAAAAGGAGGCACCGTGGATGAATTCCAATCAACCTGGAGGCGGTGCTTGAGTACCTGACTGCCGAGATCCTGGAGCTGGTGGGAAACTCAGTTCGTGACAACGGGAGGAACGTGATCATCTCCCGGCACCTTCAGCTGTCTGTCTGTGGTAACGAGGAGCTCGACAGACTACTGGGAAGAGTGACCATCGCCCAGCATTCAGGCAGTCCTGCTGCCCAGGAGGACCGAGAGGCCCACCGGATCTGACAACAAGCTGGATCCGGGTGGACAGACCAGTATTTGTGGCAAGATTCTTAGGATTCGCGGCAGGAGATCCTTCCCGCCCACAACTATCAGCATCCAACAACTCTTGAATGAAACCAGGATGATGAGCTATGACTTCATTTCCCTTTGGAGTTAATAAATTATTTTTTTAATTAAATTGAATTTAATTGAATCCATCCATCATCTATATCTGCTGCTTCCTTTTCAGGTTGCAGTGGGTTGCTCATGCTTCTTCTTCTTCTTTCAGTTTTTGCCTCTTCAGGGGTGTCCACAGTGAGTCATCCTCCTCCATCTCACTCTGTCCTCAATCCAACTACCTCCATGTTCTCTCCAACTGCATCCATATATCTCCTCTTTGTCTTTTTCCTGGCAGCTGCATTTCTAACATCCTTCTACCAATGCACCCACTGTCCCTCCTCTGGACATGTCCAAACCATCTCAGTGTGTCCTCTCTAACTTTATCTCCCAGTTGTTCAACCTGTGCTGTACCTCTGATGATCTCATTCCTAATCTTATCCATCCTTGTCACTCCTAAGGAGAACCTCAACATCTTCATTTCTGCAACTTCCAGTTCTGTCTCCTGTCTTTTGACTGTCTCCAGACCATACAACATAGCTGGTCTCACTGATGCCCATGCAGTTCCTTTAAAAACATTATTTTTAATCTTCCTTGTATTGTCTTTTTATGCCACTTTTGTATTTTAGCTAATATTTTTATACTTTGACCTTTTAGCTTGTGCTTTGTTAAATTTTGTCACTTGGGGCTTCTAATTAGTGTTTTGCTTTAAAATGTGCCTAACCTTTAAAATACTTGACTTTCAGATAAACTTTTGTTAATTTTTCTTGTACATTGGTTTGAGTGCAGTAATTATTCTGCACCACAGAAAGGCGAAGACAGAGGGTCATGCTTTTGCTCTTGTCTGTGCCTTGATTTGTCTGTTAGCAAAATCTCCAATGATCAAATAGATGGGTTGTACAGAAACTTTCAGGAAGTACATTTATTACTCTGAAAATCAACACAGGTCCAATATGGGATTCTGGCAGCTTTGTTAATGGTCTTTTATTTTTTTTTATTTTTTTTTATTTTAAGGACCAGATCTGGCTCATGAATACTCTAACAAAACATTCTAATGTTGTATTTTTCCCCAATAAGGCTGCAGTAGGCTTATATTATCTGTATACTACATGTAGTGAGGACAACTAATCAATACAACAAAGTGCTAAGCAGCAAAAATATAATGCACTGGGCATCCCCGAGAGATGCACAGAGAGGGGGCTGATGGGAGAGTCCTGACTCGGTCGTTTGGATTCTCTGATGGCTTAAAAACACCAGGACTAGCTGCCCCCTCCTCCTCCTCGACAGATTGTTGCTGGTGAGGTGAGCACTCTGACTCCGGTTCAGCGGTCTCAGATTTCCCAGAGACAGAGCTCCATTACATCCTAATTACCAGAGGGACGAGGGGACAGGATGCGTTTAATGATCTGTGCTACCTGTCTGCACAACACAAGGTTGAAACAACGAAGAAACAGTGCATGGTGGGGTTTATAACAGGCTCGCAGCAACTGGTTTACACTGGTGTACACTGGTTTGGGGGGTGGGCGATAATGAGAAACCAATTTGGGTTAATTTGCTCTATAACTGCTCTTCTAAGTAACACCCTGAATTTATTGGACCCGATGTGATGGAGAGTTTATCGTTTTAGACTTCTCCTAAGCCTGTTTTATTACCGTGCTCCATCTTTGTGCCTGCACAGTAAATAAATAATTAAATAAATAAACTCTTTCATGTGAGCTTTTGAAGTCAGTTGAAGCGGAGCCACACAGAAGGTGGGTGACCCCCGGTCCAGGTGGTAGACCACAGCAGGATGGTAAGCAATACAGTAATTCATAGTCAGGCCTAAAACATATCTGAGGTTCTTCAATTGGGTTATTTAAGAACATCACAAGAACTGAAATATCATATCTCTGCTGTCCACTTGTATATGTCGCTTCTACTTCTATGGGCAGATCCTCCCATCTCCCAGCTCAGCGCAGGTTTAGGAGCCCCCTACATGATGTTTGTTGAAGCCAGGTTCCACAGTGAGAAAATCATTTACCACTACCACTGTGTTCTCATGTGGACAGCCTAAAAACAACCTTTTTAAAAATGATGTCATAGTCCCATCTGCTACTTATCCTACAACGCCATTAATGACAGATTACATGACTCTGTGTGTTTCACGCTCACTTGTGGTGGTTGGAATCCAGAAGCTCAGCAGGACTTATGCTCTTTGAACAGTTTCATGTTCCCAGGCCTCATACCTTGATGGTTTTGTTTAGGGTTTACTTTTTTTTTTTTTTTTTGAGTGGATAACACTCTCCTGAGTTCATGTTTTTGTTGTTTCTTTTTAGTGACGAACCCTTAGAGGGGGGATACTATCAGGATCTGTGTTTGTAATATTGTTTATTTGCAGTTTTTTGTGTTTTTCTTGAATGGTTTTGTGATTCTTATGTTTATTTTCACTTACCTGTGTTTCCAGTGTTTGGTTTTCTTTTTCTCATTTCTGTTCCTGCTCCGCCCTCTCACATGTTCCCTGTTTTCTTACAAGGTGTTTGTCATTCTGTTCATTAGTTCCTTTGTTCCTTAGATAGATAACTTTACTAATTGGCATTTATAATGTATGTGAATGTTTCTGTTCAATGCCCTGAGATAACTTCGCTTGTGACTTGGTGCTATATAAATAAACTGAATTTAATTGAACTGTTGCCCTTTTCACATCCCCCGGTAACTCCTTCAGTGGGGGCAGGACTGTGGAACAAAAAATAAACATACACTGGGAACACAGGTAATCAAGAATACACAAAAAAAACCTCAAGAATAACACAAAAAAACTACAAATAAACAAAAAACACAGACCCTGATAGTGTGTTGCAGACACTAGTTGGTCAACTACAACAAAACTATCATCCATCCATCTTTACCCGCTTCTTCCTTTGCAAAACTATTATACTTTAATTTAATGGACAGACAAGACTATTAAGAAATACACTGTCTTCAGTACAGCAGCTCAGCAGTTTAAATTTTTTTTTATTGAACTGACAACCATATTAAATCAAAGGTTGCAGAAAAAAACATCAACAATAACACCAAGTATATCTTTTAAAGTTGGCCAAAATGAGAATTGTTTAAAAAAAGGTCAATTTTATATAAATAATTTATCCTGAACCCTAGGAACACTATGAGGAAAGCTCTTCATTTTGTCTCTTGCTGGACACTAAAATTGTCCATTATGTCCATGGACTTGGACTGACTTGTCTCCATGTAGTTTAATGTGACACAAAGGTCCACAAGAAAGATTCCGTTTTTCCTCTCGTCTTTTTAGTCCTCATCTTTTGCATTCTTATGTTTATGCTCCACGTCTTGTATCCTGTTTCTGGTGTGTTTTCATAGCAGACCCACAGCGCCACATACAGGCCTGGCATAGTTACTGCAGCATTTGTGTCATTTTCTGTGTTTTGGGTGAAAACATTTGTATAAACTTGCAGTGTGTGTAAAGAAAAAGGATGCTTTGAAAAGACATAATTCTGGATGGGCTCTTAAATTCATAATTTGGGGTATTTTTAGAGAATTATTTATTTTAATCAAATTAAATATCCAATTAAATTCCAGGTTATAGGACAATGTAACTGAAATATTACAAAGAGGGATGAATACTTGCTGTACATTGTAGCTCAGAGCAGCATGTTGTGTTGTTGCCCAGCGTTGATCAGCTTTGTGCACGTTCTGCTCAGTCATGTTTTATTCAATAACATCTTAAGATGGAAATGCAGGGATGAGATGCACCAACACATTCATCTAACAGCACCTGGTGACAGTTCTGTTGCTGTCCTGAATTATCAGAAGGTGTTTTCTTTACAATCTAACCCTACACGCATACACCAATAAAAAATAATAAGAGCACTGATTAGCTCCTGGGGTATGAACAGGAGGTTTTTATTGTGGTCAATGTGGGTCTTTTAAAGAGAGATCCAGGAAATTTTGGGTAGGAAACTGAAGTGTCTAGTTTTGTATCAGAGCATGCATCTTGTTATATCCTTCAAAGCAGAGTGACAATATGCCACGCATGCTGCAGATGACTCGCTCCCCGTTGTGCATAATGACCAATCACCTACTTAGTCAGCAGAGCTGTTCCTCCCTGGGAGCAGAAGCTAATCTGACTCATTTTGAGAACAGCTAGAAAAACCATGCAGGGCGGAACAATTTTCCACCGACCTGAGGGTGAACTATCCACATGAGGAGACTGACAGGGACTAAATCTGTGCTGTAGATGTTTCAGCCTCTTGTATTCTAACAATTATGCTAATGATCATCGTTATCATGATGTGTTCATGTTTCATTATAACAGATTTAAACCTCCAGACTTGTTACCTGTTGCAGGTTGATTAACGCATCGATCTCAGGGACATGACCTCCTGTAGCCATGAGTCCAAGCGAGCAGCGAGCAGAAGTCTGGACCTCTGCAGAGTGCAGGGCCTGCAGGAGTCAGCTTGTGTGGCAGGAATAAAACCAGAAGAGGACCACTGTGGACCTGCGGACACGGTGATGGGATGGGACAGGAGGTGGTGGTGGGTTAGATAAAGATGGGGAGCAAAGCAGCAGGAAGCTGGAGGAGGACAAGGATCAGCCCTTCTCTTTCACTGCTGGAGATCCAGGAAGCCTTTGGGGTGGCATAACCTAAAAAAGAATAGGTAGAAAAAAACAACATATAATCTTATTTGAGAAACATGGGAGAGGAAACAAATTTATATCTTGAGGATTAATGCTCTCCCATACACAGTTTAGCATAAACTGCATGTTTTCAGTGAAAGGTAACATATTTAAAACTAGAGAAATTGTATTTCCTGTGAAAATGCTTTTTGCAGACGAACTTGTTGAAAAACAGCTAAAATTAGCTAAAAACATGCTGAAATGTAGCTGAAATGGAAGAACAAGCCTAAATTAGCAGAAGAAAGCAGAAAGAATACATATTTGCTGAATTAAGTTTAAATAAGCAGAAATTTGCACAAAAATTAGGAAATTAGGAGGAAAAAAAGCTGAAATTTGTAACAACAAAACACTGAAAAGTAGCTGAAAAGGCAGAAAGAAGCTTAAACTACCAGAAGGGAGTGGAAAGAGCTGAAATGAGCTGAAATAATGTGAAACTAGCTGATAAAGCTAAAATTTGCATAAAACAGCTACATAGTAGATGAAGTAACTGAAAAAAAAATACTAAAACTAGCAGAAAATAGTGGAGCAACAAGCTGAAATGATCAGAAAGAAGTTAGAAGCACAGAAGTGTTGCAGTTAGCAGAAAGAATCTGAAAGTAGCACAAAACAGCTGAAAAATCTGCTGAAAGTAGCTGGAAAAAAGTTTAAATTTGCACAAGGAAGCTGAAAGAAGCAGAACAAGAACTAAATGTGAAAGGAGCAGCAAAATGTTGTAATCGGATCGAAAGATCTGAAGAAGCTGAAGGTTTTGATACCTAAACTGCTGAAATAGCTTAAAAACTGCGTGCCGAGAAGCATGCCGAAAAACGTGCGTAATAGGGACAGAAGTTGAAATGATAAATATAAACAGGAAAACAATAGTGTGAATGCTTCAAAGCATTCACACAATAATCTCAACTACATTATTCATTTAATTAAAAGCCTATCATTCCATGATGGAACACAGATCACCCGCTGCAAATCAACACATGCTTCCTCTGAAACTTTTGATAAACTTGAAGACGGTGCAGACATATTGCTAACCCAGACTCCACTTGTCTTAAAAACAGCCCTGAGTCTGGGAGCGCCTCCTGTCAGTCCACCATCAGCTGCTTCGGAACGGGTAAACTGTTGTTATCCGAGGATGGTTACTGACGCTCTGAACAAGGAGCAGCCTTGGCACCAGCGCTGGGACATGCTGCAGAGTTTCACACTGACAGGTTTTCACTTACAGAGTGTCAGATCGTGACTTCCCGCCAACTACAGCTAACCTGCTAAATCAAATGGACTTTTCTCCAGCACAACCTAAATTATTCTGTTTTTACAGAAAATGCAGCACTATCATATTATAAACTGTAAGGCAATTTTTGTCATCCATTACACTTTTGGACCAAAAAAAAAAAAAGTCTGACTGATTCAGAGTACTTTGTCTGATAATAATCACTCGACACCAGATCACATCCGACCACCTCAGACTCCTCAGAGTCCTTCCATGATGTACACGTTTATTTTTAAAGACAAGTACACTCAGAGACACGGCAGCTAAAAACTCTGCTCTAAAGTCAGTGCAATGACGCTGAGGATGCCACTCGAAGTGCGTGACGTAGATGACTCTCAGCTACTACCACACCGAGTTTTAGCTGATTAGCTGTAAAACTGAATGAGATCTACTGTACTTGCCTCCGTACACGTCGCACCGCCGTATAAGTCTCATCAGTCCAAATATGTCTAATAAAGTAAAAAAAAAAAAACATAAATAGGTTGCTTGCCATATAGGTCATTTCTATTATGATTGACCACCCGGAAACGTGGGCTGGTGTTGTGCCAAAAATTGATTGGCTGCCAAATGGCGACCACGGGAGCGTGCACGGGAGGACTTTAACAAGAATTTAACAAGATTAACCCCTAAAAACAATTATTTATTTGCTCGAAATTATAGCAAAGTGCGTCTCAGTTGAACTTTTCCTTAATAAATGCACTTTAACGGTCAAATCAGCTGCATCTCGCCTGGGCGGCGCAGCTGATTTGACATTTGCTCCATGCGTTCCAGAGCAAAGGTGGCTTCTACGGCAAGCCAGTTGTCTCATTAATAGCCACTTTTACCTATTAATGAGCCACTTGGCTTGCCATAAATGTTGAGGGTCTTCTAATGGCTGAAAATGGTAGTGTTCAATATTTTCCATGTCAGACTGAACTTGTCAGATCTCAGCAAAAAAATGGGTTATAAATTTTGGTTAAAAAAAAACATAAATACTTTGCTTCGCCATATAAGTCACAGGGCATGCAAATTTATGCAAAAAGGTGTGACTTATACAGTGAAAAATACAGTAGTAATTTTTAGTTAACTAACTAAAAGAAATATTTTCCAATCAAATACACTTTGAGAAGTGTGAATGTAACTGTGCTGGCAGCTGGGTTTGTATCTGCTACTTTAGGACCTGCAGGGGAGTAAGTGAATCAGCTCTGCCGCAGGTTCTGCCGCAGGTTCTGCAGCAGGTTCTGCAGCAGGTTCTGCCGCAGGTTCTGCAGCAGGTTCTGCAGCAGGTTCTGCCGCAGGTTCTGCAGCAGGTTCTGCAGCAGGTTCTGCAGCAGGTTCTGTAAGCAGAGGAAGCAGCCGCTCTCCAACAGCTGCTATCAGGTTCCTCACAACACGGAGCAGGAATGAAGAGCGTGTTTGTAGAAAGAAGATTGAGTTCGGTGTGTTTACTCTGAGTGTCTTCTCCTGTTTTCTACTAGATTTGTTTTTATGGACTGTAACTACTTTAGCATTCTTTCAGCTAAGTAACCAGCCATGTGCCAGATTGTTCAGCTCCTTACAGCTTTGACTTTTGGTTTTTGTAACTTTTGTATATCTTCAAACCTTTAACTGAACCTTAAACTGTACACAAGTTTTTCCATTAAGATTTTTTTCTTCTTTCGGCTGCTCCCTTCTTCAGGGGTCACCCCAGCAAACTAACTCCCACGAAGACTTGGTATTTATTTTGAGGCCGGATGTCCTTCCTGACACAACCACAGAGCTACCACAGCCCGCTGTGTGGAGCTGGGGGCTGCCACCTAGGGCACCCGGGTGGGGGTTACGGACCTTGCTCAAGGGTCCAGAGTGGGGCAAATGAGGGTGGAGACAGGTGTATGTTTAACCTTTCCCACCCACATTTTGACGTTGTTAGTCCAGGGAGTTGAGCCGACGACCTTCCGATCACCGGTCCACCTTCTCTAACCTCTGCACCACCACTCCCCCATTTTGTTTTTCATTAAGATGAAGTGTGATTTTTTTTAAATTGGAAAAGTGCTTCTTTGAAATCAAATTCAGCATACTTGCTTCATTTTTAGCTACAGTTCTGCTGATTTCAGCTTTTAGCTACAGTTTTGCTGTAGCTACTTTTGGCTACTGTTCCAATACATGTTCTAGCTTCTTATTTTAGCTATTGTTCTGCATGAGGATTTAGCTACTGTTCTGCTGATTCTAGCTTAGTTTATTTAGTGTTAGCTACTAAATTAGTGGTTTCAGTTTTCAGCTACTTTTTTGCAAGTCAGCATTTAGCTAATATTTACCTAATTTAGCTTTTGGCCCCCATTTTGCTAATTTTTGTATTTAGCTACCGTTTTATTGATTCTAGCTTTGTTTACTTAGTTTTTTAGTTTTTAGCTGCTGTTTGCTGGGTTTAGCTCTTAGCTAATATTATACTAATTTTAGCTTTTAGACTGTGTTTTGATAATTTTAGCTTTTATTCTGATTGTCAGTTTAGTTGTAGCTTCTTCAGCAATCTTCTGCAGTCATTTAATGCTCAGCATTTACGCAACAATAGACTCTTAAAGGTCGGTCTCTTCAGTTTGTCCCCACTTGTCTTCCTGTGGACATGTCCAGGGAGATTGTCTTCAGTCCTGTGGAGCTTAAACTCCTGAATAATCTGTGCAGCTGAAGTGAGAGGAACATCACGCTGCTTGGACATAGTCTCATAGTCTTTACCTTTAACATGATGTCAATCATTGTCGTTCTAATCACCTGAGACTCTGTGTCCTCAGCTTCCTGTGGTCCATGTTCAGTGTGTTACACACCATGATACCAAACAGCCCTGTGACTACCTGTCGCCCTTCAAACAGCCAGACTGACTGATTACAGACTGAAGACACCGGAGATGTTGATTACAGGACACAGTTTGGTCAGACATGTCCCTCTGGTCTAATTATTTTCAGTCTTTTCTAGAGCAACCGTTATTTTTGTCGAAGTTTATTTGTTTGTCAAATCAAAACAAACAAAAATAACAACAACTGTTGAACCAAATATAAAAAAACGACTGAATTTTGTTGATTTTAAGTCATGTTTACTGCTGTTGTCATTTTTAACAGTAACCTTTAAGAGTCCAGTCCAGTCAAGCCAGATTTAAAGTCACATTCATCCCATTCACTTCTATTCATTTTAAATCACTCCGATTCAGTGGATTCTAAATCCAATTTAATTTTGCTTCAATTCAATCGAATCTAGTCAGGTTTAAATTTGACATGAGCCAGTCCAATTCAGTCCTATTTATTCTACTTCAGCAAAGTCCAACTCATTCAGTCAGAATTAAATCGCATTCAATCATGGAATCCAATTCATTTCACATTTACCTCATGCGTAATGAAACTTTTTTTTTTTTTTTTTGTCTGTAAACATAAACAAAATAAATATCTGGAAAGACGCTGCAGGTTTAAATACATTTAGTGATTGATTGATTGGTTGATTGATCGAATCTTAAGCAGTTATTTATGCCTTTGAAATAAAAACCTCTGTAGTCTCAGTTCAGGAACCAGCACAACCTGAATCAGCTGAAAGGAGCCACTTCAGCTCATGTCGTGTGGTTTAAATGAACATTTTAGCTGCTAGTTTTCCTGTTCGCAGCTGAAGATGTGCTGAGTCACAGAATGTGACCTGACTGGCTCGTGCAGTCTCTGGACCCGCAGCTCAAACCTGATCCGAGCTCCGGGGGCACAATTCGTGCACGAACCCCGCGGCACATTTTCCTCACGCCTGGAAGCCAAACCCGACCTGCAGACATTTCCTCCATAAACCCCCGAGCAAACACGCAGCGCATGCACGCAGCATCTGAGCTGCATGTTGTCTGAAAACACGCACCTACCTGCGGTTTCCACTCAGCAGTCCAGCTGCGGAGACAAACCAGAGACAATGAGGAGTCGAACCGAGCCGATCCGTTCTGTAACCCGGGTGAACGCCAGCAGTCGTGTCAGGATGAGAGGGATGCTCTGCAAACAGACCACGTGACTCGAGCTGGACAGCCTGCAACAAAAGGCTGATGAGGCTGTTTGTGTAGCACAGGTGAGGAAACATGTGTGCTAAGATGCAAAGCTGATTTTTGTTACTTTTTTTAGCCATCCTATTTGTAAAAATAAAATAAATCTGTATGACTTTTTATAACTGTTTATTGTTGTCGCTGTTAGTCATCACTCTGTTGAAATCAGGTCTCTCTTGTAAATGAGTCCTCGAGGCTCAATGGGATTTGCCTGTCTAAATAAAGGTTGAATGAATAAAAAAAAAAGATGCTGTCACCCAGACAGAGCCAAACTGGAAGAAAAGAGCGGATTGTTTTTGGTGCCAAGTTATTTTTACACAGCTGAATTTAAAGTCACAAGCTATTTAATAAAACATGAAGACTGTTCTCCTGAACCAAATCGAACTTTTAACGGGTTCACTCCTGTAGTTTTCCTGATAAATTAATCTGTAATTCTGAAATGCAGGTACGCACTCAATGTAAACAAAGTAGAAAACACTATGGGAGCCTGAGTCACGTGACGCACCTACATTAATAAACAAACATGGCGGAATGGGACAATGATGGGCCACAGAGAAGTTTAGTTGGAAATTTAAAATTGAATGCGTCCACGTCGGAGTCAAACAATATTAGATAAACTAATAAACTCCACCAGAGGGCAGTAGAGTTTTATAAATAAAGTTTACTTCCAGTGTTGTTCCCGAACAGATCCTGTTTGCTGTCACACTTTTATTAAAGACATGAAGGCGTGACAGAAAGTTTGTTTTAAAGGTTTAAATCTACAGTAACAAGATCTTTGTTATTTGTAATCCTTGTTACCATGGCAGCAGAAATGTTGCGTCTCGATGACAGATAACGTCCTCTTCTTTTCCTATCTTGACAAGAATAAAAACATATCCATCCATCCATCCATCATCTTCCACTTGTTCTGAAGTCGGGTCATGGTGGGGGCAGCAGCTTGAGCAGGGAGGTCCAGACGTCTCTTTCCACATCCACCTCTTCCAGCTCTTCTGGGAGGACTCCAAGATGTTCCCAGGCCAACAGAGAGAATTAGTCTCTCCAGCGTGTCCTGGGTCTTCCCCGGGTTCTCCTCCCAGTCAGACATGCCCGAAGCACCTCCCTAGGGAGTCGTCCAAGGAGCATCCTTACCAGATGCCCGAACCACCTCAACTGGCTCCTCTCGATGTGGAGGAGCAGCGGTTCCACTCGGAGTCCCTCCTGATAACTGAACTTCTCATCTCTAAGGGAGAGTCCAACTACCCTGTGGAGGAAATTCATTTCAACCTCCCGTATCCACGATCTCATTCTTTTGGTCACGACCCAGAGGTCGTGACCACAGGTGAGGTTAGGGACGTAGACCGACCGGTAAACAGAGAGCTTTGCTTTACAGCGCCGCTCTCTTCACCACAACGGACCGGTACAGAGTCCGCAATACTGCAGAGGCTGCACCAATCCGTCTGTCAATCTCACGCTCCATTCTTCCCTCAGTCGTGAACAAAACCCCGAGACACTTGAACACCTCCACTTGAGGCAGAACCTCACCCTCGACCTGAAGAGAACAATCCACCCTTTTCCGGTTCACCATGTCCTCAGATGACCCAGAAGCCAACGGAGCCTCTGCTTTCTGCCAAATTCAAAGCGCAGCAGTGGAGGGAGCAAACACTAGCCAAGAAACCGATGTGGTAAAAATAGTTTAGCAACACAAAGTCAGAAGTAACGATCGATCTATGAAGCTCTGGATTCAAGCTGTATCTTCGCTGGTGAGTACCCATATAAGATGTTGCAGTACTGTAGTACATATATGTATGTTGTTAAAATTACATAGATTTAAGAGTTTAGAACATTGCAAGAATGTGGGGAGGGTTTATAAAGCCTTAAAATATAAATACTAAATAAATAGAACATCCCTACTTCGCATATTTTCATTTATTGTTGGGTGTCTGGAGCGTAACCCCGGTGATCAGTGAGGGACTACTGCGTACTGTACTGAAACGTAAGCAAACACTTCATGTTATAAATAGCCTAAAAAGATTTGCGTTTTTTTGTTTGTATTTTTTAACTAAAACCAACACTTTTCTTAATTAATTTGACAATACTTGGGGGATTAACAAACATTTAGTTTAATTAGTTCCAAAGCAAAAAATACAAAGCAAACAGCCACTTATGCTAGAAAACTTTTTATAGTAAAAAAAAAAAAAAAAAAAAAATCATAAGTATATATGTGCAGGATACTGCGAAGAGGGAACCAGCGTGTATAATGAAAGGAAACTCTGGATTTAAAATAAGAAAATGTCATCAGTCAGCACACAGCATCTTACTCATCCCTCCATGGTTGACAAAAAGATCTTTATTTGCATCTCCAAACTCTGCCCTGTACCAGCAAAAAGTGATCACACTACTTAAAAAATAAAAATCAAACAGCACCCGGGAAAGTAAATGTACATGTAGCGTCACCGTTTCCTCAGTTCAGGTGACGAGGTAGCTAACGCCGAGCGTTCAACAGAGCGTTTAATCCTCCTGGTGGTCGGTACAGCCTTCAGAGCTCATCCATCACGTTTCTGTTTTTCTTCCTCGATAGCACCACAAAGTGTCAGAATTAAACATTAAAAAAAACTAAATCTGTAAATTCATTAAAGAAATACTAGCGGTGGGACATTAGTTTGTTTTGAACCCTTCTGGGCTTAAAAACAACAGTTCCAAATAAAGATTTTGTATAATGGGAACAATTAGTGTTGTGAAATCAAGACTTTTCAATGCGTAAAGCTGAAAGTCGAACGTACTCGAGGGAGCGATTCGGATTTTTACCACTTGTCTGAAAACCATTCAAGTTCTAAATCTTTGACGTCTTGGACTTGGGATGTAAAGACAATAAATATTTTGCCGCGGGGCAAAGTACTCGTACTCGTATGTACAAGATGGCTGATCGTGTCAGCTGTCAGTTCAACAGTCTCCTCTTGACGTGTCCGGCTCTACAAGAAGCACACGGGCCCGATATCGATACCGAACTCCTGATTAGGGCCACCAATGTCCACAGGGGCAATGTCCACAATAGGAAGTCTTGCAGTTTTCTGTGTCCTGTACTCAAACACTGTCTTGCCCCAGTTGCCGTTAGCTTGCTGTAAAAAAAATAGAGACAAATAAAGTTCAGTGATTATTTCACCGTGTTGTTTTATATATTTGTGTGAACGTTCATGAAGCAGTCACTCTATTATGATCCGTTTTTCTTCCGTACGTTTTTCAGCATCTTTCTCGTTCCACAATTTTTGTGCTATTTCAACAAATCATAAATCAAAATGTTCAGCTCATTCAGGAGAATCCTGCTATGACTTTTGGTATTGGTGCAACTTTAGCTTTTTGAAATATTTCGCCTTTTCTGCCATTTTTCCTCATAGAAAATGATTTGAGCTCATTTTACATCCTTCAAATCTTTAGATGTGTTTACAACCTTTTACTGCTCCTTTCACTTTTTGTTCTGCTTCAGCTTCTTTCAGCTTCCTTGTACGCATTTAAATTTTTTCAGCTACTTTCAGCTGTATTTTTTTCAGCTGTTTTGTGCTCCTTTCAGATTCTTTCTGCTACCAACATTTTTGTGCTTTTCCTAACTTTTCTGCTAATTTCAGCTTGTTATGCTCTTTTCAGCATATTTCTGCTACTTTCATCTTTTTCTACAATTTCAGCTGTTTTTATGCTAATTGTAGCTTTTTCAGCTAATTCCACGTTTTGCGCTCATTTCAACTTTTTTCAGTCCATTTCAGCAAAAAATGTGCTCTCTCCATTTCCTTTTTGTAACTTAAGCTTCTTTCTGCATTTTTAGCTACTTTTCAGCAATTTTTTCCTTCTAATTTCAGCTTTTTTCAGATAATTTCCACTTTTATGCTAATTTCTGCTTCTTTCAGCCTAACTGAGCAAACATGTTCCTTCTGCTAATTTGAGCTTGGTCTACCTATTTTTTGTGTGGCATTTTTTTTTTAGCTAATTTCATCTGTTTTCAGATAAATTCAAGTTTTTGGTGTAATTTCTGCTACTTTCAGCCTAGTTAACGTCTTTCTGCTAATTTCACCTTGTTATGCTCATATCAGATTTTTTTTCTGTGTCAGCATTTTCTGCTATTTCAGCTACTATTTAGCTGTTTTACTGCTAATTTGCCTATTATCAACTAATTCCACGTTTTTAACTCATTTCAGCTCTTTCTGCTTCTTTCTTGTTGTTTAAGCTTTTTTCTGCCTTTTTTAGCTACAGTACTTTTCAGCTGTTATTGGCTAATTTCAGCTTTTTTAGCTAATTTCCCAACTTTTGTGCTAATTTCTGCTTATTTAAACCTAATTTAGCAAATATGTGTCTTTTCTGCTTTCGTCTGATAATTTAGGTTTGTTCATCCATTTCAGCTACAATTCAGCACATTTTAGCTAATTTCAGCTGCTTTTCTGCTAATTCTTCAGCAATAAGCATTTACACTGCATTTTTGCAGGAAATGCAATTTCTCTAGTTTAAATTTAGAAACTAAAATATCTCTGGCAGTGGTTTGACACTTATTTTGTAAAAGTTTGACTGAGCCTGACTCTTACTCTGAAGATACGCTGCAAGTTTTAATTTGAAACTCCTATTTCTGTTTATTTAATGTTGTTCAGATTCTCCAGAAGCGTTTATCTGATGCGCTTTAAAGTTAAATTAGGGCAAAACTCTGGAATGGTTTGAGATAAAATTGTAAATCTTATAGCAGTGGGTGAAAAAAAAAAATGCCTACCGGTACATTTTGATGTCTAAACTGTTTAAGAAGTCAACAGTTTGTTGAATTAGGAAGAGTTTATTTGCTAAAATGTTCCAAATGTTGGAGGGTGTGATGTCATCACACTTTAAGACATTTTTTTTTGTTATAATATTCAAACTGGGATTGTGTAAAACGCCAGTCTTTTTAGAATTTACTAGAACATCGATGGGGAAAAAGCTGAAGTTGGTCTCCAGAACTTACAGAGCACGAGTCCTCCACCACCGTGTATCTGAAGCGGTTGTTGCCCTCTGCTTTGAGCTCCAGCTCGTTGGAGCCTTTAAGGATCACAGCTTTCTTCATGTTGCCCGTCTTGGCGTCCTTGTAGCCCACAGAGTTCTTGCAGTGGTAGGTGATGGTCTGAGCTGCTTCTTTGGAGAGCAGACGGATGAAGGTCATCTGCACGGTGACGGAGTTCGCAGGCTGATCTTTGTTCCCGTAAGTGAACTAGAGACACGGATACGGAGTCAGTGCTGCTCTGAAGGACATTCTTTAAATCAAAGCTCACTCCTTTGGATGTAAAATGAAAAAGTAAGAGCTCACGTGTGTCCCGCTGTTGATGTCTGCTCCGAACCACACGGGCTTGTTCCTGGAGGAACTCCACCACACTTTACGAGGTACGCTGGATGGGTTGGCAGAGATGCAGGTCTCCCCAGTGTCCATGTTGCAGTGCACTTGGATGGCGTCCTCTACACTGCCTTGGTTTGGATCCACCCAGTACTCACCTAGAAGGGATCAGGATATGAAGGGATGCCCAGGTTATTCATCCATACCCACTGAGACAGTGTAACTTGAACATTATTAACACCCCCTCCTGTGTGAAACTCACCGCTCTTCTTCATGGGGTAGCATCTCTTCAGGTCGTCGCAGGTCCTTGCAGGGTGCTTCCTGCTTCCATCGGGGCTCTTCATGCTGTCGATCTGGCTGCTGAGCGCCTTCAGGGTGGCCTGAACGCTGGGGTCGACGGACACGATGACGTTGGAGGAGTTGCTGTTGGGCAGAGCTTCGTCTTCGCTGAACTCTGGAGGAGGAGGCGGCCCAGAGTCGTAATCGTGCAGGCCGCCGAAAAGGTCATCCATGGCTGCCACTGGGGGTCCTGGAGGTCCTGGGAGTCCTGGGGGGCCGTCTTCTCCTGGGGGACCCTATCGATTTCATAAAGAGCTTTTTGCATTTTTCTTGTTTTATTTTTTTTACAAACGAGAATCAAACAGTTTCCTGCTCGCAGACATCTGTTCAAAAGATGTTCAGCCCTTTAGAAGCGCCTCATGTGGCTGGTTGCAACAAAAGAAAGAAAAACCAAGAGTTTTGTCCGATTCCTGATCTGCATAGTAAGACCGTACCTGAGGTCCAATTTCTCCACTGAATCCACGAGTTCCTGGAGGTCCCATTGGCCCCGGCTGGCCCATGTATCCCTCTTTCCCAGGAGGTCCAATAGGCCCAGGAGGACCCTGAATAATAATCCGGTAAAGTTTTGTTACCAACTAACCTCACTTTTAGGAATTTATTCAATGGTTGGATTTGGAATCAATTATGATGTTTTGTTTGATAAATTGATAAAAGCATGATATTTAAAATGTATAATTTACCCTTGGGCCACTTGGTCCAACAATTCCTGACGTTCCTTGCTCTCCGGTTGTGCCCTAAAAGTAAACAAACATATATCAGCATCCTGCTCAAACCACAGCTCAGTTTCTTTATTTCTTTATTGTTCCGAAGCACTGGACAATAAAACAACAACTTGTTTATAGGATTTGGATGTTTTTTAATCAAATCATCTGGAGTCGTATGTGTTTTCTGCGTGCCTGGGTTGGTTTAAGTAGCAAAAACCTGTGATCCTTCAGTTTTCGGGTCTTGTAAGAAGGTGTTCATAGGGTGGACAGAAGTACAGTGTCTCAGTGTGCAGCATAATTCATCACTGGAAATTTTAAACATTGCATACAGGAGTCAAGACTGGCCAGATGTTCTCTTAAGGTGACATCACAACTGTAACGCTCCTCAAAATGTGCTGCTGAAAGAAGAAATATAAAGTCTGGTTCAGGGTGTATAAAGTTGTTTTAAGGGTTTCTGTAGCTCTCAGCATTTGACTCCATGATTAAAATAACGCCCGGGTGCACAGACGGCAGCATGATTACATCACTGAGTGAGTAACTCACAGGAGATCCAGGAAGACCCTGCAGACCGGTGTAGCCTCTGTGTCCTTTCTGACCCCTCTCTCCATGGTCACCCAGGTCACCTTTATCTCCTCTTGGTCCTTGTGGTCCCTGAATGAGGAATGGTTGAACATACTTTTATCGTTCTTGAACTTGAGGAGGTTTTTGCTGCAGTTTTACACAAACCTCAGTAGAAACAATGATCTGAATCTAGAGAATATTATTTTTCTTATAGACTGTCAGCAGTTTGACTCAGAAAACATGTCACGACCTCAAACAGAGACTCACCACTAATCCTCTTTTCCCAGCGGCTCCAGGTGGACCCTGGGGCCCTCTTGAGCCCTGCAGAAGAGTAGAGTCAGAAGAAAAACTTCAAGATCTTCCAATAAAACCCTTAAAGTTATTGAACACGTTCAAATTCTTGTGCTCATCATCAAAGGTTTGGATCAGAACATGAAACACTCACCGGCTCGCCTCTCTTTCCTGCATCACCTGATGCACCAACAGGACCAGGAGGGCCAGGAAGCCCTTGTGGTCCAACCAAACCCTCTGAACCATGATCTCCTCGGTCTCCCTGAAACGTTTTCGCTGTCAGACACTTCCATCATGAAAATCACAATTAAAATCTGCTTCTGGGCTCTTACCCTTTGTCCGAGGACGCCGTCTTTTCCTGGTGGACCATCAGATCCTGCAGGACCCTGAAGGAGCAGACACATTATAACCTTGTGGTATCTGTAGAGTTGTAAATCAAGAAGCTAAAGTTTTTTTTTTTAAAATGCTGCGTACATCTGGACCAGGATCACCCCGAGGCCCATTAGCACCAGGAACGCCAACAGGACCTGAGGGGCCCTTATCTCCTGGTGATCCCGTGGATCCTTGTTTTCCTGGAGGACCCTAAAACAAGAAGACAGATGATGCTAGGTCAAGACACACAAGTGATGCACACCATAAAATGAACAAGACAGATTATTGTAAATGTTGAAACAGGGTTTAGTTCTGAGACAAACATCTGTCAGATGAAGATCAGGGACTGGGTGGCTTTAAATTTCTTAAATTTTAATGAGAAGAAGACAGAAGTCATGTTGTTTCCACCAAATGGCACAATCAAGAACCACTGTATCGACCATCCCGCTCTAGTCCCGTTAGAGAAACAAGTTGTCACTAACCTGGGAGTGAAAATGGACCCTTCCATGAAACAGTACTTGTAACAGTCATGTAAACATGATTGTTAAATCCTGTGTTTTCTTTTATTATTATTTGAGGCGACTGTCTAAATCATGGCTATTCAACTGGCGGCTCAGGGGCCAAATACGGCCCACAGGTGAACTCTGTTCAGCCCAGAAATGGGTTCATTTTTAAATAAAACTAAATTTTAAACCATAAAACAAACATCTAATGACAAAATCTGCTGGATGTCTGGACCCTGAACTCTTGGCTTTCAGTGACTGTGGTCCCCTGAACAATTTAGTTGAATAGTCCTGGTCTAAGCTGAAGCCCATACTGTCCAAAAGTAACCTTGAGACAGTAATACATGCTTTCATAACATCCAGGCTTGATTACTGCAACGTGCTTCTGTTTGGAATCAGTCAGACCTCCACAGCACATTTGCAACTGGTTCAAAATGATACAGCCCAATTTTTAACTGGTACAGGCAAAAGAAAGCACATTTCTCCAGTTCCTCTCTGTACTGGCTCCTGGTTCACTTTCAAATTCATTTAAACATCCTTCTGCATGTTTTTAAATCTCTGAACAGTTCTGCTCCCTCCTATCTCACTGATCTGCTGCAGCCATATGCCCCACAGAGCTCTCTGAGGTCAGCAGACCAGATGCTTTTATTGGTTCCAGGCACTCGTTTGAAGCTCAGAGGTGACAGGGTCTTCTCTGCTGCAGGTCCAAGACTGTGGAATGAGTTACCACTGCACGTCAGACAGGCTCCCTCTCTTACTGTTTTGATGTCTCATTTAAAAACTCACTTTTAGTCTCTGGCTTTTGACACAGAATGAGTTGACTTTAACTTGTCTGTATCCTACAGTGTTAGTCATTTAGTTCGTATCTTTACCTATTTGGAATTAAGTATTTTATGCTGTGTCCTTTGCTTGTTTTGTTTTTTCTGTACAGCACTTTGGTTGGCATTGTTGCTGTTTTAAATGCTTTATAAATAAAGTGGTCTGGTCTGGTATGGTATGAAGATCATCAAGAACAAAGAAAAAGAAGTTTCAGAAGTTTCCATCCATACGTTTATCATTCCTCATCTGTCACCACAGATAAAAGGAAACTGGTTTGGACGTTCAGGAATAACCCGAGAACCATTCAAGCTCCAGTCTGCCATGAACTGGAACCTGCTGGAACACCAGAGTTCCTGTCCACAGTGAAGCCAGTTTTACATTATGAGGGACCTGGAAAGTTTGACAGAAGTAAGAAGCATGTTTGGAGGTGGCAAGGTGAAGCTTTCAAGCCTGAGAACACCATCTTAACTGTTAAACAGAGTGGTGGTAGCATCATGATGTGGGACTGTTTTGCTGGCTGTGGTACTAGTTTGTTGCACAAAAGGAATGGATCACTTTTCTTCCGCCAAGAAGCAAATGCCAGTCAGAATACAAAAGATGCAGGTGATGCTGGTTAACCAAATATTAACTGGAGTGTTTGTATAAATTTTAACTTGCATTTATATTTTTGACCCGGCGTGGATTAGAGTCAGCTCCTGGAGAGTCTATCTCCAAATAAAACAATAAAAGCCCAAAATGAATGACCTTCATGTCTACAGTGAGTGGGACTCTGGTTCTGACTGCAGCTGTGGTTACCATGACCTGGATGAGCTCTAATCTATTTATGCTGCAGAGAAAAGTTCTGTGATACCAACCGCTGGCCCCGGAAGACCCGGCATCCCACGTTCTCCTCTCTGACCGGGAAGACCTACAATGCCTCTCTGTCCTGTGGTTCCAGCTGGGCCTGGAGGACCATTGGGGCCCTAAAATCAACATCAAAGCACAAAGAAAATGTGGATTTTATTACATTTAATAATAAAAAAAACCACTAAAATACAATCACAAAATTATAAAATATCAAGTTACCGTGGGGCCGTCCTCTCCAGCATCACCTTTGTCTCCAGGGCTCCCTGGTGGTCCAGCAGGTCCCCGCTCTCCTTGTCGTCCAGGAGACCCATGATCACCACGGAGTCCAGGAGGACCTTCTTTTCCTGGGGCTCCCTGGGGTCCAGCTTCTCCAACTGGACCCTAATAAAAGATGTAGAGACATAAAACCTCAGAAGACACAAACTGGATTCATTTAGACTTATACATTAGAATAAAAGGAATCAAACAGCACTTTATGGATTGCATTTTGATCTGTTGAGGTTCTCTAAGATCATTTATGTTGTTATTAAAATAACTTTAATGGCAATCCACAGATCTTGATTGTTGGGTAAAAATTTTAATTTTGTTATTTGGAGAAAACCAGCTGTTTACTCTATTTATGATCCATTATTTTGTTCAAAAACCATCTTAATATGATTGTAAAGGTATTTTCATTACCTTCATATTTTACATGTATTCTTTATACCCAACTTTAGTGCTCATACAAGCTCAGTGTGGTACTTACAGGTGGGCCTGGAGGTCCAACATTTCCAGCAGATCCAGGAAAACCAGTGGGACCCTGTGATCAGAAAACCCCAAAGTTTTACTTTTTTTTTATTTTTTATTACAGATTGCATACTGTTTGCAACAAAACAAAACAAAACAAAACATGAAAACATAATTAATATTTTAAAGTTGACACATCAGGTGTTGAATAAAAAGTTTCTGGTTTGGGATCTTACTGGTGCACCCTGCGTTCCTCTTCCTCCTTTCAGTCCAGAAACACCAGTTGGACCCTAAAAGTGGAAATCAACACTTTAAATATGTTCTCAGTAACTTGTGCAACAAAGAAAGAAATACATGTAATGTTGTATAAAATATATGAACAGTTCAATTCTAAAAGTGGATCATTGGAGAGGTCAACGACAGTTGAGAGACAAACTAACGTTGATTTAAGTTTTTGACTCACCGGAGGTCCATGAGCACCAGCTAAACCCTGAGGTCCTGGAGAACCAGCGTCACCTTTCTGGCCTGGCTCTCCAGGCTCTCCCTTGACTCCAGGTTGACCATCAGGACCCTACAAAGTGTAAACATGGTTAACGTCACATGCATGTTAACACAAGGTCAACAGTACAATGAAATGTTCAAGATGAGAAGAATTGGTTCCACACGCTAAAAACAAAACAAGAAATACTAAAGCATGCAACAAGGGTACAAAATAAAATACTAAAAAGTGAAAATGAAATATAATATTTACAAGGTCCAAAACAAAAATAGTAAACAACAATGTGGTAGAATATAACAGAAGATAAATTGGTATAAATATGTATTTCACAGGTGGTAATATTAGAGTCAATGCACATGATATATAGTATATTGCACATAACTAACATATACTGCACAGATTGTTTGACCACTTGGAAGAAGCCTCAAATGCAGGACTACTCACAGGGGGTCCAGCAAATCCAACAGCTCCAATTGGACCAGGGTCACCTCTGGCTCCCTGAAAGAATACTATCTTTTACTTCATGTGCAGTAAAATACTTAACAAGGCCAGCATCTGCTTATTATACAAGACAAGAAAGGATGTCAGGTCTACATACAGGAGTTCCTCTAGATCCTGGAGGACCAGCTGGTCCTTTGGGTCCAGGTTCACCCTGTGAAGACATTAAATGTTTAGTCACTCAATCCGGTGTGTGAGGAGCAAGAAACTGCTGCTTAGCATGTGTTAGAAAAGGAAACAAACCTTTTCACCACTGGGCCCAGCAGGTCCGAGTGGGCCAACAGGACCAGGGGCTCCCTGTGGACAGTAAATAAATCTGGTTTGGGAGATCTTCTCACCATCATTGTCTCGGGTTAACAGTACAGTATGGTTCTGTCAGTGGACACAAGCTGGAACAAGTCCTGGGCTTGCATGAATCCATCAGCAGCTAAAGTTTATTTTGGTCCCACAAGTGTAAATTAAACATCGCTGTGTGTGGCTGAGCCAAGAGAACACGCGTTCGCCGTGAGGTAAAGACGTTGCACTCACCCTCGCACCATCGTTTCCGGGTGTACCTTCAGATCCCTTCTCACCAACCGCTCCCTGGACAAAAACAAACAAACAAACAAACATGTCACTGGTTTGAAAAACTCTGTCTGATTTATTGTAACTTAACTGACATCGTCCAAACACAACCAGGATTTAGTTTAAAATTTTTGGAAAGATTTACGTAAACATACTCTGTCACCCTTGGGCCCAGAAGGACCAGAGATTCCTCTTTCTCCTGGCATTCCCTGAAGACCAGGTGGACCTACGTCTCCCACTGCACCAGTTGGACCGGGGCTGCCCTACAGTGAAAAAAAGTCATAATTAATAAAAACAAAATCTATACAGCGACTGCCTGTGTAATAATAATCGTACCTTTGGTCCATCTGGACCGGGTGCACCTGGAATTCCTTTGGGTCCCTGCAGACCAGTTGCACCCATATCTCCTCTCTCTCCTGGAATTCCTCGCTCCCCCTAGATGATAGAAACCATCAGCTGACTATTCAGGGTCACTAACTTCTTTGGACCAATCAAAGACGGAGCAGATCAGAGAGTTGAAATCCACATACCCGTGGTCCAATTTGACCCACAGGACCAATCTCTCCAGGAATGCCCTGACAGAAGGATCAGTTTGTGTTATTCATGCAGTCCAAACAATAAAATCAACGGTTAACGCTTACGTTAACAGTTATCAGTCAGAGGGTTTTTTGGTTGGACTCACTTGGTCTCCTGGTTTACCAGGTTCTCCAGGGGGGCCTAGGTTTCCAGGCAAACCCTGAGAAGAAAAGAAAAGTGGTAAAACAATCAAATCAGAGCTCACTTTCATTACTTACACTTGTATCTGTAATAAGAAGACATGCACAATACTGTTTCGATAATATCTAAGAGATTCTCTTTTTTTTCCAGCTGAACTCTGACTGATGACAGATGTCGATACAGAAATCAAAATGTCTGAGCTCTCATGATGACCCAAATATAGTTGCTTGAAAAAAGTATTTACAATTAAACACAAATTCTGTCAAAATCAGTTAATTTTTATTGTGCCATATTATAACAGTCTACTAGCAAACAATTCCCATTCATTCTGTTGTATCGTATAGATAAATAGGCACCACCTGGTTCTGGATATTTTCCTAAATAGATTTATATTTTTACACTTGTGGAAAAAAAAAGAAGTTTTGTCCACATTTGTAGTACTGGTACCTTAATTTGAAGTACCCATGCCACACCACTAGGTGGCGAGAACATCCACATTGACAACATTAAAATACAAAGGAAGAACATGCTAAGCCTGGCTTAAAATTCTCTAATGCCGTTTACATTTTCACTCTTTTATTCATAATTTCAGCACAATGAAATTTTGACGGCTGCGAGATGAAAACAAAACTGGTAAATTAAAAAAGAAAAAAAAAATCAGTCGGTTTAAAAAAATGTATGCTTTGCAACCTTATTTAATTTATTTAGATGCATCTCTAATTCCAAATACTTGATGCAATGTGTATTCTTCAATTTATACTTATTCTTACTTTGTGCACTGACCAGTTTATTTTTATGTTTTATACTTATTTTATTTGTTCAATGGTGTGGGAGGAAACTGGGATATGATAGGTTAATGACTGTTTTACTTCGCCTGATGTTATAATGACTTGTTCGTGTATGTTCACTTATAAAATTTATAAATAAAACAATTAAAAATATATAGAGAGTATATGCTCAAAAGACACACCTGGAATCCGTTAACACCTGGGGGACCTTGCTCTCCTCTGTCTCCTGCAGGACCCTTGGAAACAAGACAATCATCTGTGTTAGTTGGACCAGAAACAATGATTCACGTGGGACATCAGAGAGTTCCTACTTACAGGTGGACCAGGGGGCCCTGCAGGACCAACTTCTCCATCTTTTCCTGGGGGTCCCTGTGGACAACAAAGAAAACTAAACTCGCTGTAGCTCTGGAGTCCTAATATATGATGTGGTTAAATGGACTAACTAATAATAAGATTAGCCACAATGGTAAAAGAGATGAAGAATAAAGTCCTCTTCGTCATCATGCTTACTCTTTGACCTGACACTCCTGGAGATCCCAGCTCACCCGTTTTTCCTGGGTCACCCTTTAAAAAAAAATCATGTTTAAAATTGGAAACAGGACAAAAAGTTAGTGTGCTTTTTGGCTGATTAAAGCACAGATTTGAGTAAATCTCCAACCTACATTAAAACCTTTAGGACCCGGGACTCCCATGGTTCCTGCAGGGCCTCGGTTTCCAATAGGTCCTGCTGGGCCTGGGCGACCATCCTCACCCGGAGCACCCTAAAAATAAACAAGTCTCATTATATTTTAATACACTCTAAGGATTCATCGTAATACCAAAACAACCATGCAGATAATGGAACAAAACCCTCCAGTTTATAATAATTAGGACAATCTGTCAGTAAAAAATAAATGATAAAATTAATTAGGATTATTTTAAAATGCAGAATCGTAAGATTAGAAAATAAATTTGTTTTAATCATTCTAGAAAAAAAAAAAAAAAACCAATCCTAAATTTAAAAAAACTACACCACCCTTCATGTGTGATGGTTCAATCTGGTCAATCATTCGGCTGAAATTCCTAATTAGTGCCTTCACATCCCTAACTTTCTGTTTTCCCAGATTGGTTTTTATGCAACTCTTTTGATTGTTTTGTATTTCTATGTGTTTATTACTTTTTGGAATTTTCCCTTCTTTATAATTCTCCAAGCACATTAATGTTTGTCTTATTTTACATTTCTGTTTTAATTCAGCTTCATGATGTCAATAAGGGAGGCGGAGGGCGTACAACAGGCACCAGTAGCTGCTGTTAGCAGCTAGGTGTTACCTAAACACAAGCCACTGTGTAACATAGCATAGCTTTTAGTTTAAAGTATTTAAAAACAACAGTATTTATCAAAACTAGTGCATGAGACAATTAAAAACACTTCATAAGTGAAAGCTGTTATGAAGCTCTACTGACCAGTGGCCCTGGCTTGCCTTCTGCTCCCTGCACTCCTGGGGTACCAGTGAGACCCTGAAGAAAAGTTATCAAATCATGAGTATTTGAGAATAACATTTCATCAGTAATTGTTTGCATAATATTATGAAAAATGCATCTCAAAAATAAAAAGTCCAAACTCTTGTGTTACCCTTGCACCTGGTAGCCCAGGCTCTCCGGGACGTCCTAGGTCTCCGAGAGAACCTTTTGGCCCGGGTGGACCTGAAGTTCCTCGATCTCCTTGCGCACCCTTTGCAACAAAAAAGACAAAAATATTTTATATTTGCAACTAAAAAATATTTCAGGAAGGCTAAATACGGACAGCAAATAAAGAGTACCTTGGGTCCTGGCAGGCCGTCAGCACCGGGGAAACCTCTGTTACCCGGAGAACCCTGAAAAAAATAAACAATACTGAATATAATCACATTTATATTTAAGAGAAGGATGTATAATATTCAAATTACTGGATAGTTTTCTTTAAGTAACATTTAGATGGTGGCAGATGTTCATCAGTCTGTTAAGAAGTGCGTCTAAAAAAAAGTGGAACAATTAAAGAAAAAGTTCCTCAACAGAAAACTGGAAACACTTTAAATTTTCATCATCTGAAGTTCATAATCTGATCAACAGATTAGAAGAATCTGTAGAAATCTCTGAACTCAAAGGACGAGGCTGAAAGTCAATACTGGATGGTCGTGATCTCCGGGCCCTCGGGAGCCACTGCATTAAAAACAGGTTATGTTCTGGGCTCAGGGACTCTTCCACGGATCATCGTCTGTAAACACAGTTCATCCCCAGATGCTGCTTAAAGCTCTATCAGACAAAGAAGAAGCCAGATGTGAACACCATCCAGAACAAAGAGAGGGCTCATCCACCCTGTTATTGGTGCACAGGTGAAAAGCCTGCCTCTCTGATGGTATGGGGGTTCAATAGTGCCTATGGTACGGGCTGCTTTCACAACTAGAAAGGTTCCATCAATGCAGAAAAGTATCTACAGGTTTTAGAACAATATATGTTCCAATCTAGAAAATAAATAAATAAAATCTAGCAACAAAAATCCAGGACTCTAGAACAGCTAGAATCTTCCATCAGACCAGAATGGGAAACATTTCCTCCCAAACCTCCACCAAATGGTCCCCTCAGATCTTCAAAAACAACAACAACTGGTATCTTGAGGTCCTTCAAAACCACCAGCAACTGGACTCTTGAGGATCTCCAGAACCTCCAACAACTGGTCCCCTCAGGTCTTTCAAAACCACCAGTAACTGGTCTCTTCAGGTCCTTCAAAACCTCCACCAACTGGTCCCCTCAGGTCCTTGAAAACCTCCACCAACTGGTCCACTTAGGTCCTTCAAAACCTCCACCAACTGGTCAACTCAGGTCCTTCAAAAACCAACAGCAACTGGTCCACTCAGCTCCTGCAAAACCACCAGCAACTAGTCCACTCAGGTCCTTCAAAACCTTCACCACCTGGTCCACTCAGGTACTTCAAAAACCTCCACCAACTGTTTCAGTCAGGTCCTTCAAACCCTCCACCAACTGGTCCACTCAGGCCCTTCAAACCCTCCACCAACTGGTCTACTCAGGTCCTTCAAAACCTCCACCAACTGGTCCATTCAGGTCCTTCAAAACCACCAGCAATTGGTCCACTCAGTTCCTTCAAAATCTCTAACAACTGTTTGTCTCAGGTTCTCCAGAACCTCCAACAACTGGTCCCCTCAGGTCCTCCAGAACCTCCAACAACTGGTCTCCTCAGGTCCTCCAGAACCTCCAACAGCTGGTCCCCTCAGGTCCTCCAGAACCTCCAACAGCTGGTCCCCTCAGGTCCTCCAGAACCTCCAACAGCTGGTCCCCTCAGGTCCTCCAGAACCTCCAACAGCTGGTCGTCTCAGGTCCTGGATGTTTACATACTATTGTTAAAGGAAGAGGAGATGCTCCTCAGAGGAAACATGGACCTGGAACAACTTCACACAGACGCGTTGCTGCTTTGAAACTCAAAATGTCCTTTTAATCCTCCAAATGGTCCAATTTCTTAGTTTCAACATCTGATACATTTACTACCTTCTATTATGAATAAAATCTAAGAACAAGTAAAAGATTTGCACATTTTTACATTTGTTTTATTTACATCGTACACGACATCCCAGTGTTTTCTATCTCATATTCTTCCTCAGAGACATTAATCTTTTTAAACAGAATACATTTTTCAGATTAAATGTCATTACCCTAATGTTTCCCCCATCTAATATTTATAAGCATCTGGTGGCAAATATGACTTTTTATCATGGTCGTCTTTGGTACCAGATTAATTTTCAAAGGACTCGGCTGCTTATTTTTGTCACTTTCTTATGAATAAAGATTTTCTTTCTTTCTTTTTTTTTAAGATAAATTAAATCACTTGAAGTAAAACAAGGATGCTGCAGGCAGACATATTTTCTATCATCAGAGCATTCATCATTTTGTTTTCCAGAGCTGTTATGAGCATAAAATATTTAATTTGTGAGACTAAAACATGAATTTTAAAAATAGCTGACTTACTCTTTCACCGACTGGACCCAGAGGGCCAACAGAACCAGGGTCCCCACGCAATCCTCGCTTTCCTTCCTCACCCTGAGGTCCAATCACTCCCTGGGAGCCTGGTGGACCCTGAGACATGGACACACAAACCAAAATCCATACTGAACAAAAGAGGCCACTTTTACTTCTTACCTTCAGTTAAATGTTCTCTGATAAGTTCTGAGGTTTTAAATCAGGATCTTACAGGTTCTCCTTTGGGTCCTGCCTCTCCTTTAAAACCTGCAACACCGATGTCTCCCTTTGGAAGAAAAGTGTGAAGATGTAAATCTCCTTCACGTTGCTGAAGGTCACATTAAGTAGATTAGGTAGACACATCTTTTAAGAGTAATTTTTACCCCTTGTCCTTTAATACCAGGCTGACCGGTGCTTCCCTGAGGTCCTGGTGGACCAGAGGGTCCAGGGTGGCCTCCCGGACCTTGTGGGCCGAGATTTCCCTGCAAAGAAAGAGCCAAGTTTGTCCGACCTTGAGAATTTACGTAATACCAAGAGAATTTGATTAAATTAAGAAAGTGTCTACAAACCACTGGTCCTTTGGCACCTGGACCTCCATCTGTACCCATGGGGCCCTTTGAAGACAAAAAAAAAATAGATCAGTTGAGAAAATGCTTTAAAAAAAATCATTGTTTCCTCATATTATGATATAAAAGTACAACTACTTTAAAAAATTTACCCCGAGTCCAACTGGTCCAGATCTGCCTTGGTGACCTGTCTCTCCTCTTTGCCCTTGTGGGCCTTCTGGACCTCGAACTCCTGTGGGACCAGGTTGCCCCTGTGGAAACAAATTGTTAACTATATATATATAT